TTTAGTTGAGGTCATGTCATAAATAAGTGGAAGAGTAAGGATTAGATCTAGGACTGATTTCAAAGCTGTTTCTAGCAGAAGTGACTCTGCTGGTCTTTTTCCTGTGATTTTAACATTAAACAATCTGAGATACTTTTTCAAAAACGAGACAACCTTGTCTCTGTGTCCCAGAAGTAGAATGACATCATATGTAGGAAATGCTAGTCTAATTTCAAGTAATAGTTGTGATTGCTTTTTTTAGCAGAAGATAGTGATACAAATTACAGTAATACCTTGGTTCAGGAACAGTTTGGTTTGCAAACAAAAGCATTTGGCAAAATTGCGCTTCTGTTCACAAACTGCATCTTTGCAAACTCTGTATTGGGTAACAAACATGACATGGCTGTGTTCTCCACACAAACAAAAAATGGAGCTGTCTTCCCCAAAATCGTAGAACAAATTAAGTTCATAAAATGAAGTATCACTATATTTTAAATAGCTCTGTGCACTATTGCCAGTACCATTATGCTTTTCTCATTCGTTCAGTTTTTGATCTTGGTTTTTGGTGTTTTTTGAGATGGCCTTGCTATGTAGTTCAGGCTGGCCTTGAACTTGCCTCGATCCTCCGGTCTCAGTCTCCCAAGTGCTAGGATTACAGGTGTACACCACCATGCCCAGTTTCATTCAGTGTTTGACATGGGGTCTTGCTATGTTGCCCATGCTCATCTCAAACTCTTGAGCTCTTCCCTCAGCCTCTCGAGTAGTTGAGACTGCAGTTGTGGGCTACCATCCTGAAAAAGCTTTACCTTTTTAGAGGGTTTAGTAATTGAAACAAAACCATTGGCATTTTTATGTGTTCTGCAGATTTTTTTTTTTGGATGTGCTGGGATTCAAACCCAGTGCCCTGCTCATGCTAGGTAAGTACTCTCTACCACTGAACTACATTCCTAGCCCAGACTTCTCTTTGCTTTTATTGTTTTCTACTATTGCCTGTAGGAGAAAAATACTTTTAATTTGAAATTTTTGTTCAGACTCTATGGTCACTTGAATGCTAGAGAGCTTGTAGTTCCATAAGGTATAATTTAACCTCTTCAGTACAGCATTTCTTCTAATCCTTTTTTAAAAGTTGACACATTTAAAATCATCTTTATTGGACCTTCATGGAAATGGCAGTATAGTAGAGGCAAGGTATGGTGAGAAAAGTGAAGCAAAAGGACTACAACAGGGTAGTATGAAACTGCTGAAGGTAATTAAAAATTGATCATGTCTACACTGTTCGAATCTGTAGAGACTACAACAGCAGGGAAAATTTCCATATTTCAGAAATTTATGCATCTCAGTCACTGTAGAAATGTTATCTCTTAGGGAGCAAGAACTAAGATGTTTGTAGATACCTATAATTAAAAGAGGTATTTCTATCCTAGAAGAGATATTATTAGCTCTTGAAGGTGGTAAGATATGTGGGGCATGGGACAGATGGAGAAAATTAGGTAAGGTAAGTGTACTATAATTGAAGAGTTTCTGTGTTATGGATCAAACGCAGGACCTTGAGTGTGCTGGACAGTTGCTCTGCCATTAAACCACATTCCCAGTTAGGGAGAGTTCTTTTTGAGAGGGAGGATGAGTTAAAACAGGGTCTCACTATTTAGTCCAGGCTGGTCTTGCACTCGCAACAATCCTCCTGCCTCAGCCTGGTAGCTGCTGGGATCACAGGCATATTCAACTGTACTGGGCTTTTTTTTGAGACAGGGTCTCACTATATAGCGCAGGCTAGCAGCACTACCACTAGGCATGCAGCACCAGCCTCTGCTGAAAATATCTTCCTTTCTTTCTTTCCTTTCTCTTCCTTCCTTCCTTCCTTCCTTCCTTCCTTCCTTCCTTCCTTCCTTCCTTCCTTCCTTCCTTCCTTCCTTCCTTCCCTTTCTTTCCTTCTTTCTTTCTTTCTTTTTCTTTTTTTTTGTACCAGGAATCAAACTCAGGACCTTGCACTTACAGGCATGCACTTGTGCCACTGAGCTATAGCTCTAGTCCTAAAAATATGCTTAAAAAAAAAAAAAAAATTTATATCCTTATCACCATGTGTAGTGGCGCACGCCTGTAATCCCAGCACTCAAGGCTGAGGCAGGAGGATCATTGCAAATTTGAGACCAGCCTGAGCTACAAAGTGAGCTCAAGGCCAGCCTGAACTGCATAGCGAGACCCTGTTTCAAAAAGACAAAAAAATGTATATCCTTAAAGATTGAGGCAAAAGCCCACATAACATAAAATTAAACATTTTAGTTGGGCACAGTAGCCCATACTTGTAATCCCAGCATTCAGGAGATGAGGCAGGAGGATCATTGCAAGTTCAAGGCCAGCCTGAACTACAGAGCAAGACCCTGTGTCTTTAAAAAAAGAAAAATAAATAAACATTTAAATGTGAATAGTTCAGTGGCATGTAGTACATTTAGTGTACGGTACTACAACCAGTGCCTCTATTTAGATCCTAAACATTTTCATCACCCCAAAGGAAACATGTATTCATTAAGCAGTTATCCCCCACTCACCCTCTTCCCAGCTTCTCGCAGCTACCAGAATCTGCATTCTGACTCTTGTGTTTCTGACTATGGATTTACTTATTTTGAGTATTTATAAAATTGAAGTCATACACTATGTAACCTTTTTTTAGATCACACTTAACCAACAATTTTAAGATTCAGATTACCATCTGTATCCAACTTCAGGTAGTATTGATAACTACTGTCTTCTTGTAAAATCTTTTCACGTTTTGTTTTAGAATTTGTGGTAATAGATCTACTGCCAGAGCTATTTCATTTACCCACGTTTATCTTTTGTTTCATTTTGTTTTATTTCGTGCTGGGTATGGAACCCTGGGCCTCACATGATAGACAAATATTTTCCCAAGTTAGCTACATCCCTGGTATTCATCTTCCTTTTATTTTAAACGAGTAGAATTGTTTCAGTTTGGGGTATAGCAGTTGTATTCACTGGCACACTCTGACAACTTTCCCATTTAGAATTATTCCATTTTTAAAAATACTAGGTAAAGGTATTTGTGAACATGAGATATCACTGGAAAACTTGGAAGCCATAGTTTTATTAGAATTTCTGACTTTTCATGAGCAGATATGAACTATGCAGGACATGAGAAACAAGGTGCTGTTGACTTTGAACCTAGGAGAATGCTAAGCCCAGACTCAGTAGTAGCTAGTAAAATCTGGATCTCCTAGCAGGCATGGTAGCCCCTCTTGTAATCCTAGCACACTGGGAGGCTGAGGCAGGAGGATCACAAATTCAGTCCTAGTCTGGGCAATTTAGTGAGGCCTTGTCACAAAATTAAAAAAAATTAAAAAGGGTCACAAATATAGTTCAGTGCAAAGGCTGTATGTAGGTTCAATCCTCAATTTAAATACATAAATGAGTGAAAAAAATGAATGAGATTCATTTCATGAATGAAAAAGATTATCAGCAGGGGCTGTTTGATAGAGGGAAAGATGGTACTTGTAAAACTGGAAAAAACAAAAAACCAGTAATTCTGTTCAGTTGTGCAGCAAGTTCAAGGATAGTCTGAACTACATAGTGATAAGCATTATGAATTAGACCAGAGTAAAAGGAATGAGCAAGAACTGACTGCATGTGTGAAAACTGGGTACAGTTATATTGAGTTTAAAGAACATTTTGCTAAAGAATCATCAGTTCATTAGGCTTATGGCACAGATTGCCATTAGGTTTATGTGATCCCTGGTCTGAAGGTTTCCTGGAAAGCTTTTTTCTCCTCTGGGGAAACTGGTAACTTATTTTGGAGCCCATTAATTTTATCATGACATTTATATCAAGTACTTAATTGTTTTAATACTTATACTCTTTACCTCTCTAAGCATTACAATCTGAAGACACATTGTAGCTTGTAGGGTATTTTGAAAACTAAAACCATGAAGAGGTTTTCATTATGTTGCATTCAGCTGTGCAGATGGTCTCATGACAGATGACCCTGTTCTAAGAAGTCCCTTACAGGCTTATGCATGGATGGCCTATATTATAAGTCTAAGATTAGTATCAGCACTAAGTGGTCAGTTTGGTTTAGAATGCACAATTACAGTTAGGATATCTAAAGTGGTAGAAGAACCCACCCTACCAGCTATCTCAGTGTTTTTTGTGCTTTAAAATACTTGATACATCATACTTGTGTGTGTGTATGTGTGTCTTTGAGACAGGGTCTCACTAAGCAGCTCAGGCTGGCCTTGAACTCACTTTGTACCCCAGGCTGGCCTTGGTCCTCCTACCTCAGCCTCCTGAGTGCTGGGATTACAGGTGTGCACTACTATGCCCAGCCATCATACTTTTATAGAGATTATCAGCAGGGACTATTTGACAGAGTAAAAAAATGGTACTTGTAAAACTTTGAAAAAAACCACAGGTAATTCTGATACACTTGTGCAGCGAGTTCAGGGATAGTCTGGAGTATATAGTGATGAGACCCTGTCTCAAAAAATACAAAAATAAAGAAGATAGATTATTACGGAATCTGCTTTTTGTTTGTTTTATTTGGTACCGGGAATGGAATTCAGGACCTTGTGCTTGCCAGGCAGGTGCTGTGCCACTGCGCTATATCCCCAGCCCCTGGAATTATGGAATCTTACAAAGTACTAATCATAACTTTCTTGGTCTGCTGAGTTACCAAGACAGAATCTGTAAAAGTAGATATATATTTGTTGAGCAAATCCAGATAATTTCATCTGTGCTGGGCTGTACATAACATTTACAATTTCTGTGAAGGAAAGATGTTAAAGCAGAGAATAAGCATTCTTTTATTGATACATTTCAATTACTGAAAATTGGCTGTAATTGGTACATTTTTAAAAAGTAGGTGAAACAGATTTGTTATTTGAAAACCTGAGTTAGCTTCTATTGGTTTGAGTATTGAGGTTTGTGGTATAATTGAAGTTCTGTTTTTACTGTATATTAAAAATAAAATGATGTATAGGTCTTAACTTTTAATAGAACTCAATTCTTTTAAACAGTACCTGTGGAATCCTCTGAAGAGCAACAGTCATTGTATGAAGGTAAAGGTAATTTTTTATGTGGCTCTGAAAGTCCTCATTGAGAAAACATTATTTATGGTGAAGCTAAATATTATTTTGTAAATATGTATTATATCTCAATCTCTTTTATAGGTTCAAATTCTGCTGTTAGCATGGAACTTTCAGAGCCTGTTGGTAAGAATTTCTGATCATATTACTACAGTAATATGAATCTCTTTCACTCTTCAGATTTAAGGTGCAAATGTAATTGTTCTATTTATCCTAAACCTACACTTACAACACATTGAGTCTGCTGTTAGGATTTGTAAAACAAAAGTAATTGGGCGTTAACACTACCTTGATAAATTTAGTGGTTGGAAAAAAACTGAGGAGTGCTATAGTCAAATATTATGCTTATTCCATTTACTTGAAAAATCCTTTCTTTCTGTAATTTTATTACTCTTAGGGGTTTAATGTTCTTGAGATGCTATTAAAGTTGATGCCAAAGCTTTCTTTTCTTTCTTTTTTTTTTTTTAAATTTAGACTTATTTTTTTTTGTGGTGAAACCCAGGGCCTTGTGCATGTAAGGCAAGAACTGTATCACTGAGCCACATCTCCAGCCCCTAAGTTTTCTTACATAAAAAAGAAAAAGCTGTCCATGATCACACATGCCTGTAATCCAGTACTCAGGAGGCTAAGGCAGGAAGATTGCCATGAGTTTGAGGCCAGCCTAGGTTACAGAGTGAGTTCAGGCCAGCCTGAACTACAGGGTGAGACCCTGTCTCAAAAAAGGAAAAAGAAAATACATCTCCTAGATCTTTTCACACTTTTCTCGTGTCCCAATTTTCCTTTAGTTGTTTGTTTTTGTTTTTGCTTTGGGTACTGGGAATCAAACTCAGGACCTTACAGGTAGACACTTGTGACACTGAGCTATGTCCCCAGCCGTGGTGTCCCAATTTTAAACTTGCTCTTTTTTCCTTCTATCAGGGCACCGTGACATTAGAATCACTGGGCTATTGGGAATGTTAGCTTTCCTGTTTTGCATTTGGTTTATCCTTAAGAAATGAAGCCTTATAATAGAGTGATCTTATACTCTGAGTCAGAGCTCTGTAATAGTAGTGAGGCCAGCTTGAAAGCTATTAGCCATTTAGGTTGTGAAAGAAATTTTCTTGCTTATGTGACACTGGATATTAGGAAATGGAACTTATGTATGTGAAGCTCTGCTGGTTTTAAAGTATGTATTTTACAATTTAGATAGTAAATCTTTTTTCAGAATACTAAGTTAAAATGTCTGTCTTCAGTAGAAAATGGAGAGACAGAAATGTCCCCAGAAGAATCATGGGAGCACAAAGAAGAAATAAGTGAAGCAGAGCTGGGGGGCGGTTCCTTGGGAGATGGAAGGCCACCTGAGGAAAGTACCCAGGAAATGATGGAGGAGGAAGAGGAAATACCAAAACCTAAATCCGTGGCTGCACCGCCTGGTGCTCCGAAAAAAGAACATGTAAATGTAGTATTCATTGGGCATGTAGGTAAGTAGCATGTGTAGCATTTATAAGAATGACCAAAATTATTGGATAGGACGTCTTATTTAGCTATTTGGAGATGTTCTGTGAAACTGAACTGTCTAACATTGTTTTTGGTGCAGGGGTGGGAGGTGTTGGTAGGGTTTGAACCCAGGGCCTCACTCATGCTAAATTACCTTGATTTTTTTTTTTTTTTAACTTTCTAGATTTTGTTTAATTAAGTTGGTAAGATATTATAAGCACTTTGGTGTTGAAAGTTTGGGCAGGTGAACAATTTGCATGGAAGTTGGTAGGAAAAAGGCATCTGTATATGTATGCAATATCTGTAGGTACTAGTCAGGACTTGGTATACTATGATATGTTAACATCTGGGAAATGCACTACTTATTTTTAAGGTGAATTTTAGTTACATTTTAGTGGAATTAACCTTATACTAGTTTAATTTTATGGGACATAAATTCATAATTTGGAGCATTTCTGGGTATTTGTCAACTTGTTGGTTTAGCAAAACATATTAACAAATAAGAGCAGATGTTCTCCACTTATCTGACATATCCCCAGAATAATGACAAGAAAATACAGAATTCTGTGCCATTTTTCATTTATGTCTGCCTTCCCATAATAGGAAACACTAAATTCCTTTTCTTAGAAGAAAAAACTCCTTTGAAGTTTGTAAAAGAACACATCTTGTTTCCTAAAGTGAGAGAGAAAGAGAGAGAGAGAGAGAGAGACTAGTTAGTTCACAGTTCTTTTTTTTTTTTTGGTACCAGGAATTGAACTCAGGCCTTGCACTTGCCAGGCAGACGCTTGTGCCACTCAGCTCTCTCCCCAGCCCAGTTCACAGTTCTGTAGCTGCTGTGCTGGTAGCTGAAGGTTGGGGAACAATCTGTTCAAAAATTCTATTTCTAAGTCCTTACTGCCTTGTAGCAAGTCTTAGCCACGTTTTCCAAGGGAGAGGATAGCTAGGCTTTATTCCCCACATTGCTATTACTGTTCAGTTGCTTTTGCAAGACCTACTTATACATGTTGTAAGTAACTGTAGTTTTTGCATATGTAGTAGTATTTTTTAACCTGTGATTTGCATTATTAATGTTACTTTTAGATGCGGGCAAGTCAACCATTGGAGGACAAATAATGTAAGTCTGTCTTTTCTTAAATAATAGCATTAATTTGACTGACCAATGTCAGGCATTGTAAACATTCTTATAGCTACAGAAGAGATAAAACAGGCCATACCAAGTTAAGAAAAATTAATAAAACCTTTAGAGAAAGCTGATACTAAGTAATTTTTGCAGTGTGATCATTGTTAGTAATTTAATCACCATCAGACCCTAATGGAACATTGCCTAAATTTGTTTCTGAAAGCTGTGTTTTTAGATTTTTTTATAAAAACTAATACAAAACCCTAGATTACAAGAAATCTTAGCCTACTTTGAATATACAGGTGGTCCCTAACTTACAGTGATGGAAAAGCAATATGCATTCTGTAGAAACAGTACTTCAAACTTGATGACTTTTCATATTTTCCTACGCAGTATAATACTCCCTCATGATGTTAGGTAGAAAAGCAGTGGCAAGCTGTAGTTCCCAGTAAGTGATTACTGGGGCGAACAACCAGTATTCCACACAGTATAGTGTATTATATTTTTTATATATTGTGTATTCCATGAAAATCTTTTCAACAAAATGCCCTTCTGTGAGTGTGCATGAATTGTTCAACACTTCATTATAAAAGAGGATTTTTGTTAGGTAATTTTACCCAACTGTAGGCTAGAATAAAATGTTCTAAGCATGTTTAAAGTAGGTTAGGCTAAGCAGTGTTCAGTGAATGTTTTAAATATATTTTTCAGTTTATGATGGGATAGGACCTAACCCCATTGTCAGTCAAGGAGAACCTGTAATTTATTTGGGAATAATGAAAGTCAGTTCTTGAATTTCATGAACAAGGGAAAATTCTTCATTATTATCTACCACTGAGCTATATTCTCAACCCTTTTTTGTTTTGTTTTGTTTTATGTTTTATGTTTTTTGTTTTGTTTAAGTTGCCCAGTTGGCCTTGAACTTGTACTCCTGTCTCAGCCTTCTGAGTAGCTGCTATTATAGGCATGTGCCACTGTACCCAGTTTAGTATTTACTTTAAAAAAAAAAACAAAAAACTTTTATTCTGAAATATTTGAGCACCATTCGTGGTGGCACATGCCTGTAATCCCAGCACTCTAGGAGGCCGTGGCAGGAGGATTACAAATTCCAGGCCAGCCTAGACAATTTATTGAGATACTATTTTAGTAAAGTTTAAAAAGGGCTGAGGACGTAGCATAGTAGTAGAGCATTTGCCTAAGCATGCAGGAGGCCCCGGATTGCCAATGCCACCAAAAACAATTTTTGTTTCTTTTAACTTAGAAAAATGTTGCAAGAATAGTACAAAATTCCAATAGACTCTTCATTCAGCATACACTAATGTGAGCATCTTATATAACCATACTATACGCATCAAAACTGGGAAATTAATGTTGGTATACTCTTAACTACAAAACAGATCTTACTTGAATTTCATCAGTTTTTCCAATTTCTTTTTTATATTCTGGAATTTCACATTGCATTTAGTTGTATCTTCTTAGTCTCCGAGCCATAACATTTTCTCAAGACTTACCTTCATGATTTAAGTAACTTAAGAGTACTACTCATTTATTTCATAGGATGTTCTTTAATTTGGATTTGACTGATATTTTCTTACAATTAGAGCAACATCATGCATTGGGGGCAAGACTACCACAGAAATGTATTCTCAGTGTGTTCTATGAAGGGTACATAAAATCAGTAGTCATGTGTTAAACTGGGTGTGGTGGCACATTCCTGTAATCCTAGCACTCAGGAGGCTGAGGCAGGATGATCACTGTAAGGCCAGCCTGAACTGCATAGTAAGACCTTGTATTTAAAAAAAAAATCATGCTTATTTAGTATGCTTTACTTATTTAGTATGCTTTACATAGTAACAAGTGACTTAACAATGAGTACTTGATTGAGGTATGGTCTCTTGGTATTCTCCCTTATAAAATTAGTACTGGTTTCCCTTTATCTGATAATCTGAGACTGTACAAATACCCTTTTTATTTTTTTTTCACTTAATTTTTCCAGGATTTCAGCATCACCACTGATAATTTACTTAATAGCTTTTTTCTGGAGTTGAAGTTTCCCTCAAAAGCTTTAGAGTTTTCTTCATTAATTTGTAATACTTTTTTTTCTTGAACTGTTGGCAGGTATTTGACTGGAATGGTTGACAAAAGGACACTTGAAAAATATGAAAGAGAAGCTAAAGAAAAAAACAGAGAAACCTGGTAAGATTTCATGACACTGTGAATTACTTTTTAAGGAAATACTGCCCACTTAATGGTTTTGTAAGCCTAATAAAATATATATTCTTAGCTGAGCACAACAGTGCATGTACCTCTAGTCCCAGGTACTCAGGGGACTGAGGTGAGAGGATCATTTGGGCCCAAGAAATTGAGGCCAACCTAGGCAATGTGGTGAGACCCCATCTTTTTTTTTTTGGTCTTTTTGAGACAGGATCTCGCTATGCAGTTCAGGCTGGCCTTGAGCTTACTTTGCAGCCCAGTCTGGTCTCGAACTTACAATGATACAATGATCCTCCTGCTTTGGCCACCCGAGTGCTAGACTGCGTAAATTAAAAAACAAGTAAACATAAATTCTTGAGTTCTAAAATGGTGTCATAATAAAGGCGAAGTTTCCCTTCCCATCATAATACAAGGTAGATCCATTTCAAATCACTTCATAATTTACATAGAGGAAATCTGGATACTGTCCAAACACGTAGTAAGTACGAGATTTGTTAAGTGATAAGGCATCCATTTAAGTAGGTCATTATATGAGCACTAAAAAGTTAGTTTTGTAAAATTTATGATGAACAGGAACAGAGTTCATGTTGCAGTGGCATTTGGAGAGAGAGCGGGAAATAACTGCTTAGGACGTATGATAAATACTGGCAAGCAAAAAAGAACAGAAGGAATTGTTGACTGGTTACTGTCGGCAGGTTGCCTTTTTCCTACTTTGTAATCATACGCATTTACTTCAGTTTTTAGAAATTATAGCTGGGACTGTAGCTTAAATGTTAGATGGTTTGCCTACTATGCCTGAGGCCTGCGGTTTGAACCCCAGCTGTGCAAAAAAAAAAAAAAGATGGGATGGATGAGTTTGATCATTTCAAAAATATCTGTGTTATTCTGTATTAAAGGGAAAATATTCTAATCAGTGTTAGGTTAAAAAAGAGCATACAGAATGAAATTCAGAGATGAAGTAATCTAAATGTCTACTATTATTATAGTTTGGAATTATGTAAAACTAAATTATATAAATATAAATTTATATAATTTTTACATAGACAAATAATGCTAAATTATTTTTAGCAAGTGACCAGTACTCCCACATGATAGATTGGTGTCCTCTGCTTCTACTTTAAAAAAAAAACCTTCATTTTTTACAATCATTACTGTGTTGTATTTTGTGCATGAACTATAAGGGATCTCATTATGATGGAATTCATAGTGGTTTACCATTAGTACTGAAAATTGTCTTTTTCTGTGTGTTGTCACCTTATTTTTATTTACAGTGTTTGCTTATAGAATATATAATAAACTAGATTCAGGTAAGAGTTCTGTTTGAATCACAATCATACACATTTTATTCTTTTAACTTTTATTTTCACCAGTCCTTTTTATATGTGTGGACATAAAGCTAGATGTCATCAATTACATGTTTAATGATAGAAAAATACCTTTCAAGACACTGTTTTTAGCAATATAATTATTTTTAAAATTCTTCTAGGTACTTGTCTTGGGCCTTAGACACGAATCAGGAAGAACGAGACAAGGGTAAAACAGTAGAAGTGGGTCGTGCCTATTTTGAAACAGAAAAGAAGCATTTCACAATTCTGGATGCCCCTGGCCATAAGAGCTTTGTTCCAAATATGATTGGTGGTGCCTCTCAAGCTGACTTGGCTGTGTTGGTAAGATAAATATTTTCAGTCCATGTGTATTAGCAGCCCAATCTATATCATAAATATTTGAATTTACCTTCTAAACGTTAGGGTTTAGGTTGCAGAGAACCGCAATAATGTTTAGTCACAATTTTCATTTTTGTTGCACTAACCTTCCCACAGACTCTTGATGTTGATGGGGATTGAACCCAGGGCCTTGCCATGTGCTAAGGCAAGTGCTCTATAGCTGACACCACCAGGCCAGTCTTACCTGTTTGTTCATTTGTTTGTGGTCTCTGAAGCCCTTTGCATTGAGCTGCATCTGCAGCCTTTGAATTTTTTATTTTTTATTTTTTTTATTTTAAGACAGGATGTGACTAAGTCACTTAAGTTGTGAAGGTGGGGCTCAAACTCCTGTCTCTTCCTCCTGAACTACTCCTTCCTTAGCCTCCCAGAGTGCTAGGATTACAGGTGTGTGCCACCACCCTGGGCTAAGAAATGTTGTAATTTATTTCTGAAACTGTTTTAACTTATCTCTCCATTGCTACTTATTAGTGTATCAGGACTTAGTTTAAATCCACCGGGAATGGATAATACAGCAAGTGTTTAAGGCCTACAGTCATTCCTCACAGGTTTGGATCACATAAAGTGATTATTAAAATTCACTGCAAGAAACCTGTCTGTGATGGCATATGCCTGTAATCTCAGTACTCTGGGAGGCTGAGACAGGAGCATTACAAATTTGAGTACAGCCTGGACAGTTTATAACTTAGTGAGACTTTTTCTCAAAAGAAAAAAAGTTCAGGTGTTAGAAGAAATGCTCAAGTCTTCATTTGTTTTTGGTGCTTGGGGATTGAACCCAGGGCCATAAGCATATTTAAGCACATACTTTATACCTGAGCTACACCCTTCCCCTCTGCCCCGCAACATTCAAATTGTTATTTGTTTGTTTTTCTTTTGAGACAAGGGCTCACTGCGTAGGGCAGGCTGGCCTTGAATTCACTGTGTATCACAGGCTTGTCTCAAACTCGTGGCAAGTTCTCCTGCCTCATCCTCCTGAGTGCTGGGATTAAGGTGTATGCCACTATGCTTGGCTTCAAACTTTCAAACCTTAGCCATCTGGACATTATTTGATTTCTGTCATATATTGTAAGTCATATATTGTAACTCACTTGCCTCTCTTTTCTTGGGAAACTCTCTAATACAAGTAAAAAAATGTTTCACTGTGGAAAAGTATGCCTGAAGGTATAAGAATAAATTACTTGATATTTTGGAAAAGGTAATCTCAGCCAGGAAAGGAGAGTTTGAAACTGGATTTGAAAAAGGAGGACAAACCAGAGAACATGCAATGTTGGCAAAGACAGCAGGTGTAAAACACTTAATTGTGCTTATTAATAAGATGGATGATCCAACAGTAAACTGGAGCAATGAGAGGTAAGCTTAGCTGTCACTGTTTTTTTAAATAATGTTGGTAGGATAAAGGGTGCTGTTATTACTTATTATATGTGCATTTCACTGGAGTCTTCCTAAACCTTAATTTACTTTAGGACACAAGAGTTCATTTGGTTGACATTATAATTGAGTTACTTGTAAACATTCATTCATAGGTATGAAGAATGTAAAGAGAAGCTAGTGCCATTTTTGAAAAAGGTTGGCTTCAATCCCAAAAAGGACATTCATTTTATGCCCTGTTCAGGATTGACTGGAGCAAATCTCAAAGAGCAATCAGATTTCTGTCCTTGGTACATGTAAGTAATCCTTTATTTTCCTTTAAAAGGAGGGGGTAGTCTTAATCAGTAATTTAAGAAAATATTGGCTATAACCTTGGCTTAAAAAATAGCGAGACCTTTGTGCCTATCCCCCCCGCCCCAACCACACACCACACACCACATGGGACTCACACTCATGGCCTCTACACATGCTAGGCAAGCACTTAGCCACTGAGCTAGGCACTCCAGGGCCCTCTGCCCATTTTGAATTGGGTTGATTTTTTATGAGTTAGCACAAACTTAGGGGGTGCTCTACCACTGAGATACACCGGTTCTTTTTAAATTTTGAGACAGGGTCTCACCAGGTTTCCCAGGCGAGCCTCAAATGTGAAATCTTCCTTCTCAGTCTCTTCAAGTGGCTGGGATTACACATGTGCCCCATCATACCTGGCTTTTGAGCCCTTTATGTACTGGATACAAGAACCTTATCAGATACAGGCGTAGTAAGTATTTTCTTCCATTCTGTAGGTTGCTGCTTGTCACTTTTTCCTTTTCCTGTTTTTTCTTTCAGTGCTCGGAACTGAATCTAGGACCTAGCATATGCTAAACACATTCTACACTGAGCTGCACCCCCCACTGTCCTTTTTCACTTTTTGGTGAGGGGGTGAGTCTTGTGTTTGAGCCCAGGGGCTTGTGCCTGCTAGGCAAGTACTCTTCTATTGACCTTCATCATCCTTTGCTTTTTGTTTTGCTGTTGTTTTTGAGTACTGGAGATTGAACTCAGGCGCTCTACCATTGAGCTACATCTGCAGTTCTTTATATATTTTATGTTGAGACAGGGTTTCTCAGTAAGGTGCCCAGGCTGGCCTCAAACTTGTGGTCTTCCTGCCTTAGCCTCCTGAGTGTTTGGGATTGTAGGCATGCACCACCATGCCCGGCTGCAAAAGGTTTTAATTTTGATGAGGTCCGGTTTTACCTATTTCCCCTTTTGTGGATAGTTCTTTTCATATCGTATCTAAAACATTGCCTGATCCAAGGTCAGGATCAGTCCTGTATTTTCTTAATGTGTCATAAATTTTTAGCTTTTCCCTTAATGTATATGTTTCATTTTGAATTTTTTATATAAAGTCTAAGATAAAGTTTGTCTAGGCTCACTTTGCTTTTGTATATATATGTTCAGGCATAATTTATTGAAAGATTATTATTTATGAAATTGAGATTGGCACCCTTATTAAAAATCATGCCAACCAGGCGTGGTAGCACACTCCTGTAATACCGCCACTCAGGAGGCTGAAGTAGGAGGACTGCTGGGAGTTTGAGGCCAGCCTGGCTACAAAGTTGTTTAAAGGCCATCCTGAACTGCATAGAGAGACTCTATCTCAAAAAGACCCCTGCCCCCCCAAATTAAATGACTACAGATGTTATAAGAGATTATTTCTGGATCCACAGTTCTCTTAATGGTTTCGTTGGCTGTCCTAGGCCAGAATCAGTCTTTTTATTTTTCTTTAGTAGTGTATGTTTTCAAACAGATAGTCTTTTTTTTTTTTTGTACCGGGAATCAAACTCATGACCTCAGGCTTGTGAGGCAAGCGCTTAAGACGCTGAGCTATACCCCCTTGGTCTTGATTATAGTAGCTTTGAAGTTTCAAGTCAAAAGGCATGAGTCTTCAATTTTTATTCTATTTTAGATTGTCCTGACTTCCTTCAGTTTCCATGTGAAGGTTAGGATCAGCTTGTAAGTTCTGCAGAACGTGCATCTGGACAATGTTAAGTCACCCAGTCCAAATAAAGAGGAAATTTTTTACGGAATTTTCTATGACTTCAGAGCTGATAAAACTAAATTTCAGAGTCCATAAAAACTAAGAACATAAGAATATAATCAATGTATTACAATGTTTGGGCCATTTGCTAATAAATAGTTTTCTAAATTTAAGATAAATTTATGGGGGGAAATTCTTTGATACCAAGTTATTTTACTATATTTTTAGTTTGTTAAGGAATAAATGTGATGAACTAGGATCCACATGTGGTGTATACCTGTAATCCCAGAATTTGGGAGGCAGAAGGATCACTATAAGGTCATAGCCAGGGCTACATAGTTGAGTTCAAGGCCAGCCTGCACTACAAAGTGACACCCTGTCTCAAAGTGTTAAAACAAGAAAACAAAAAACAAAACAAATGAAAGGCAAGAGAAGGGTAATAAATTGAATACATGAATACAGTATATGGGTTCACTGAAAAATGTTATAACTATTTTGTTTAATTTACAGTCAGTTTTGATATTTATGTTGTTGACTTTCTGTAATGTATATTGTTATGTTCTCAGTGGATTACCATTTATTCCATATCTGGATAACTTGCCAAACTTCAATAGATCAGTTGATGGACCAGTCAGGCTGCCAATTGTGGATAAGTACAAGGTACTTAAAATATTAAGTTTTATTTTATGAGAGGTAAAAGAGATTATTGTGTTTTGTTTGTAATTATGAAATTACTTTATTAACATATAACATACCTTTCTAATGGTTGTATATTACTGTGTAGTATGGATAGACCATAATTTATTTAGCAAGGTTTAGTTTCTTCAGCTGTTTCCCAGTGAGCTAGTGATTATTTCTTACATGATAAACTCATACTAGTGAAACCGTTGGGCTCAAACTATTTTCACATTAAAGTTGATGGATATCATAAATAACCTTGTAATGCGCTGGCCAGACATAGTGACACATGCCTGTAATCCCAGCTACTTGGAAGGCTGAGGCATGAAGATTGTCTGGGCCAGTCTAGATAGTTTAGCAATATGCTGTCTTGAAATAAAAGGGGTGGATGTAGCTTTAGTGCTCCATGGGTTCAATCACAATTCAGGGGAGGAGGGAGGATTATGCTGATTTGTAATACCATGAATAGCCTATGAGTGCTAGTTTCATCATAGATGCATAGGTGCTGGGGATCATGGCCTTGTGCATGTTAGACAAGTGCATGTTAGACTTATCACTGATCTATGCTTCTATAGTCCTTCTTAGATGTCAGCCTTTAAAAAAAAATTAACTTGGTTTTTGAAGTTCTACAGTATCAGTTTTTCTGTTGTTGTTTTTGTTTTGGTGCCAAGAACTGAACTCAGGACCTCGCAATTGGGTAGGCAAGCACTGTGCCACTGAGCTACATCCCCAGCCCCTACAGTGTCAATTTGTATTTTTTTTGCGGGCGGCGGGGCGGGGAGGTACCAGTAATTGAACTCAGGAGGGCCTTGAGCTTGCCAGGCAAGTGCTGTGCCCCTGAGGTGCATCCCCGGCCCTGTATAATGTTTTGACCTCCTGAAATATTTTGGTCTTTCATTAGGTCCATGCTGAAGTTCTGAACAAATGTTTTTTCCCCAGGTTTATATATGGGGGTAATAGGCTCAGAGCTCAGGAGAACATGAATTTGTACAAACAATTCAGATTTTCCAACATAAAATTACCCCCCTTTTTTTTGTATTAGAAATTGAACTCAGAACCTTGCGCTTGCCAGGAAAATTCCTATATTTTACACCATGCTTTCTTTTTAAATTTGAGGCATCCTTAATATTGTACATATGCTTAGAGACAAATTATTACAGAATATTTGTTAACTTCCTTGTGCTTAAGTTTAATCCTAGTATTCTACCACTTTAAGCTAATGATAGTCCTTTATCATAAGCACTGTAAAGTTTCTCTTTGGACCGTGCACCTACTGAAAAACTAATAGAAGTTTGCAACTTGATTTTTGTATTTTAAATTTGAACAGGATATGGGCACTGTGGTCCTGGGAAAGCTGGAATCAGGATCTATTTGTAAAGGCCAGCAGCTTGTGATGATGCCAAACAAGGTAAAAATTAGTAACGCTCTTTCCCATGTAGATCGTTTTATTGATACCAAGTATGAAATCTGAGAAAGAACACATGATGTTTTTGTTACTCAGTAACCAATGGTCAGTATTAACATCATGCTAGAGCTAACTAACAGTGAAGTGTAAAGGAAACCATTATCCCTATTATATAATAGGGAAGTAAGACATTTGGAATTCTTAAGTGGCTTTCTTCAGTTAACAAATGATTAGTAAGAGAGCTAGAGAAGAAAATTCAGTTTTAAACATGGTATAGTAAGCTTTTTGTCTGAGTGTGTGTGTATGCTTAGATACCATAACCAAATGGATATGTGGTTGCATTTTTGTGTGCTTTGACACCATAATATGATATATTCAAGCCTCTTTGTTTTGAGAGCAGAGAATTTGCCTTTATACTAACTGGGTCTTAAATTCTTCTTGCGTTACTATAATTTCTTCATCATTGGAGTTTCATTAAAATGTAGAGAATCGAGGCTGGGAATTTAGCTCAGTGGCACAGCGCCTGTCTGGCAAGCGCGACATCGTGCGTTCAATTCCCGATGCCAGAAAAAAACCTAAATAAATAAATAAAACATACAGAATCACTATAAATTATTCCTTTGTATTGTTTCTGATTGGTCAGTTGCTGGTATTTGCAGGTGACCTGAATAGGTATATACTGCCAGTGGGCTATTAAGTAATAATTGGCACCTTACAAGTTATGCTTTGGGGTTTCAATTTTAAAGCCTACCTTTTCCCCAAAATTAAACTTACGAGTCTGTATAACCAGTATGCAGAAAAAAAAAGCCTAATTTTTTAATGTGATTATCTCTACAACATGAAGCTAGTAACTCGATAAAAATAATGGTAAATTGGAGTTTTTGCTCAGTTTTGTCTGTAGAGCTGTCACAAAGTCATGGAGATGCAAGGTAGAGAGGTGGTTTCAAGAGGCTGGAGAATCAGGAATAGGGAGTGACTGTTTACTAGCTAAAGGGGTTTCCTTTGGGGTGATGAAGATATTTTGTAACTAGATAGTGATAACGGTTATACAACATTGTGAATATACTAGCTGCTACTGAATTAAATACTGTAAAATTGTTTAAAAAGGAAATTGTTAGTTACATGTTTTACCCCAACAGAAAATAAAGATTCTCTGTAGGCAAGTGAAGTTTGTGCCTAGGTATTTCTGCAGATGAGGGGCCTTACTAGTACAGAGGAAGTGGTTGTTACCTGTGATAGCTGTCATTTTATACTAATTACAGGGCAGTATCATAGTACAGTATGGTATAGTACCATGGAGTTGTTAATCAAGCTTTAAAACAGTTCAGATGTTTCAGTGGCACAGAAATGGAATATTTTATGACCTAACTGCCAAACTATTAGACATTTAAAAAATAAGTAAATAGTCATTCTACTGGATGGAAGAAGATAATTACAAATTAAGTATCTGATAAAGGCTTAATATCATAACATAGAAAGAACCCAAAGTAACTCCCAAAACACCAGTCTGAAACAGGCAAAGGGCTAGAGTAGACATGTATCCAAAGAGATAAAAAATGGCTGGTAAGCACATGGAAAGACACTTAGCAGTCAGATAGGTGTTATACACTTACAACCCCAGCATTCTGGGAGGCTGAGGCAGGAGGATTGCAACTTGGAGCTCATCCTGGGCAACTTAGTGACTTAGTAATAGTGTGCCTCAAAATAAAAAACTGAAATAAGGGCTGGAGATACAGTTTGTTGTGAAGATTCTGGGTTCAACTCCCAGTACTGCAAAAAACAAAATAAAAAAAGGGAAGAAAGACACATAAGCAGTTTAGGTAAATGTAAGCTAAAACTGCAGTGATACGAACACCTCACCTGACTTGGATTGCTTCTGTCAAAGTGAGCCAGGCGGGGCAGTGCATCCCTGTAGCACTTAGGAGGCTGTGAAGCAGGAGGATCATTGTGAGTTCAAGACCACCTTAGGCTATATAGTAAGACCCTGTCTCAAAAAACAAAGAAGTAAAAATGCTGTAACAAGTGTTGAGGATGTGGAAAAGTTGAATCCTTATGTAGTATTTGTAGTATGCAGCTGCCATGTAAAACAGAATAGTAAAATCACCAGCAGAGTCAAAAGAAAACCCACAAACTTGGAAAAAATTTTAGCTGATTGTCCCTCAGACAAAGGGCTTCTATCTAGAACATATAAAGAATTAAAAAATTTCAGCCCCTCCAAATTCAAAGACCCAATCCAAAAATGGGCAGCTGAGATGAACACACATTTCTCAGACAAGGAGATACAAACAGCAAATAAATATATGAGAAAATGTTCAACATCATTAGTCATTCGAGAAATGCAAATTAAAACAACACTAAGATTCCACCTTACCCCAGTAAGAATGGCTAGAATTAAGAAATCAACCAATAACAAATGCTGGCGAGGCTGTGGAGAAATAGGAACCCTTCTCCACTGCTGGTGGGAATGCAGACTGGTGAAACCACTGTGGAAATCAGTTTGGAGATTCCTCCGAAAACTAGGTTTAGAGGTCCCATTCAACCCAGCTATCCCCCTGCTGGGTATTTTCCCAGAAGATCTAAAAACATCATATCAGAGTGATATATGTGCACCTATGTTCATAGCAGCACAATTTGTAATTGCTAAAATGTGGAAGCAACCCAAATGTCCATCCACCGAGGATTGGATAAGAAAATTATGGTACTTTTATATAATGGAATATTACTCAGCTGTAAAGAAAGATAAACTCGAGGCCTTTATATTTAAATGGTCACAACTAGAGACCATACTCATAAGTGAAATAAATCAAACATACATGTGCAAGCACCGCATTGTGTCACTGTGTAAAACTTGAAAGAGTTAATTTAAACTCGGAGGTATGATAGACACTGTGAAATGATAGGAAACCACCGAAGAGTAAAGGGCTTCTGGGATGTGGGAAAAGAGAAGGGAAAGAAGGAGAAATTTTGTATGTATGTATATACAGGATAGATAACATGGTTGTTCTTCTATCTGCTGTTTCTATGCTGAAAGAAACTGTCAATGAGTCTTTGGTTGACCAGTATTGCATGTCTATATCTGTTTTCATGAGAAGCCACTTTGAAGATATCAATATGTAATACAACCACCATTGTTAATTCCCTACCACTTTGTTTGGAACTCTGTATTGTCTGTATTGTGCTTGTGATATGTTGTAAAATGTTGTATGTCTGTTAATGTTTCCCTCCTTTTATCCTTAAAATAAAATTAAAAAAAAAAAAAAACAGAATAGTAATTCCTCAGAAAATTGAAGATAGAATCTGAATATAGTCCCCAAAGAATTGGAAGGAGTCTCAGATATTTTTATAGCCCTTTTCATATCAGAATTACTCTACAACACCCAAATGTCAGAAATAATCTGTCAGTGGATAAATGGCTATCTGTGTGCTACATATACACAGTGGAGTATTTCTCAGCCTTACAAAGATTTTGACACATGCTACAATATGAGTGAATTATGATATGTTAAGTGAAATAAGCCGGTCACAAAAAGACAAATACTCTTTGAATTCTTACACATACGAAATTTTAGAAAGAATGTTGTTTTCTGGGGCCTGGTGGAAATAGAAAGTTGTTTATTGAGTATAGTTTTAGTTTTAAAAGATGGAAAGAGTTGTTTTAAAGAGGGATTGAACAATAGTGTGAACATACTACTACTGAACTGTACACTTAAAAATGATTAAGATGGTAGATTTTGTTATACATATTTTTACCCAAAGTGTTAAAATTGCTAATGGGTGATAAGAGTGCATACTTAGCATGAATGGGTACTTGATTTCAATCCCCAGAACCAGAGAAAAAGGAAAAATTAAACAGGGTTTTATATTGAAGTTATTCTGAGTATTCAGCAAATACTTGTGACTTGTAACTCTTTAAATGAACCTTCAGGTCCAGGTTTATTTTGTAATTCAGCAAATACATATCATAAAACCTCCAATCTTGGTTTCTTTTCAAGCACAATGTGGAAGTTCTTGGAATACTTTCTGATGATGTAGAAACAGATTCTGTAGCCCCAGGTGAAAACCTCAAAATTAGGCTGAAAGGAATTGAAGAAGAAGAGATTCTTCCAGGATTCATACTCTGTGATCCTAATAACCTCTGTCATTCCGGACGCACTTTTGATGCCCAGGTAAACGGGTTATCACAATTGTCATAATGAATGTTAGTATTTAAATTAGGATTTCAGGGCCTTTTGTACTGAATACTTGTTTCATGCCATTTAACTACTATTAGGGTATCACAACCATGATGTATATCTCACATACTCTTTAAGATAGCACAAGTACTAATTGGCGAGGGAGTATTTTTCATAAATTCCTTTTTACTTTTGATCTCTTGTGGATAAAATTTAGAATATCTAATACTTATTTTGAAAAAGCAGATTTTGTGGAGTGGGAGAGCAACTCTGAGGATTGAGTCCAGGGCCTTCACACCGAGCCACATCCCCAGCCTTTTGATTTTTTTGAGACAGGATCCCACCAAGTTGTCCACACACACACTGAGTTTGAATTTGGCAGTCCTCCTGCCTCAGCCTCTCAGAGTGCTGGGACTACAGGCCACCACATCTGGGTTAAAAACTTACTAACAGTGGTCTGTCATTGTTCAAAGTGTCCTTCACTTTGATTAGAGCACAGTGGTCTTGGAAATTGTGGTCTGCTCATTTAGAGCAAATAACTTCCCTGACACAGAATCACTCGCACATTTTCTCCACAGTACTACCAGTCTGAGTTCTCTGCAGGAGTGACAGAGTAACGACTGTTGTGGTTAACAGAATTTTTGAGTACTCTCATAAGGTCTGACAACCTATCATTAATTTTTTTTCCCTTGTATTCAGGGTTGAACCCCAGGCCTTGTACATGTGAGGCAAATATTCCATTGCTGGGCACATACCCATTCCTTTTTTACATTTTATCATGAGACACATTGTTTAGGCTGGCCTTGGACTTGTGAGATCTTTGCCTCAGCCTCCCAAGTAGCTGGGATTACCTGTGCATGTCCCCTGCACCCATCTCATTAGTATTTTTGTTTGTTTTGTTTTGGTGATAGTGGGGTTGAACCAGGGTTTGCAGCTGTGATTTTGATGCCAGATGTAAAGGTTTTTGTTATTACTGGACTTTGATATTGAGAGCTGTGGCAAGTTTACATTTAGGTAGTCTGTGGTTGGTAATGATTAGCTTAATACCTTGAGGAACATAAAGGAAAGCCTTCTTGTAATAAAGTCTGCTTGCTACATTTTTAAAGTTGATAGGTATTTGCCAGCTTAATAGAGGAGGATATTGAAAATTCACTATATGAGGTCAAGCAGCTTGACCCATCCTGTGAATAAAATTAGAGCCATCACCTCTGAAAAGTTAGTGATGAGATGCTTAGTTGTGTATTACATGGCACCTGAAATCTTTTTACCTTAGATATTAAAAATAAGATTTTGTTTATCTGACAGATAGTGATTATAGAGTACAAATCCATCATCTGCCCAGGATATAATGCGGTGCTGCATATTCATACCTGTATCGAGGAAGTTGAAATAAAAGTGAGTTTGTTTTAAGATAATTTGTTTATTATTTTAAGACTTCAATCATGACAATTTCTGTTTGGCAGCAGTAATGTACTTTTATCTGCACTTCTGAAAGTTATTTGTATTTGGCACTCTTTTGATCATCTCATCTTTTTTTCCTTGGCTAGACCTTTATCTGCTTGGTAGACAAAAAATCAGGAGAAAAAAGTAAGACTCGACCCCGTTTTGTGAAACAGGATCAAGTATGCATTGCTCGTTTAAAGACAGCAGGAACCATCTGCCTTGAAACCTTTAAAGACTTCCCTCAGATGGGTCGTTTTACCTTAAGAGATGAGGGTAAGAGCCTTTAAATCGATGTCTAGGATGATTAGCTTTTGGTAATCGTCATCATGAGTATAGTCTGCATTGTCACAGGTTCAGGGAGAACCAAGATTCATGTTCTGTAATCATCCAATAAATGTTTTATTAGTTGAATACAGTAAATAGCAAAAAGAATTGACCATGCATTTTAGCAGTAATATTCTGTATGAAGTAAGACTTAGTGGTGGTTTGGAGAGCAGCTAAATTTACTAAATAAGGCATTTCTGTAATGAAATTCTTTAGTATATATGGGTAATACTGGGTGTAATAATTTAAAGAAAAGTCAACTAATTTTTTTTCCATACACTCATTTTTGCCTACTTCTGAGTGATACAGAATAGCTGTAATTTTCTTCTCAGTGTCATGAAATCCTTTGCTGTGAAAAAACATTATAAAACATTTCTTTACATGCAGTTAATATTTCTAACTTTAACCTTTTTTTTTTTTTTGAGACAAGGTCTCACTGTGTAGTCTAGGTTGGCCTCAAACTCACAGCAATCCTCCTGCCTCAGCCTCCTTAGTGCAATGATTACAGGCGTGCACCACCATGCCTGGTTTAACTTTGTTTGTTTTTTTTTTTTTTGGTTTTTCTCCGGTACTGGGAACCGAACTCACGACCTTGCACTTGCCAGGCAGGTGCTTTTGCCGCTGAGCTAAGTCCCCAGCCCCGCCTGGTTTAACTTTAAGACTAGAGAACTTTACATAAAACTCGTAGTTCAGTTGAAGTAAATAGTCTGTTTACATGGTAGTTCCAGTCCTGCTAAGTACTTGCCTGTTGAATAAGTTTTTTCAAAGTGTCAATCTTTGAGCCTCATTTTAGAGAAAATTTTAAAGAAAAATAATTAATTTTATGTTAAATTCTATTGATAGTGAAACTGATTATTGGGTTTATTGTATTAATTTTACAAAATGATAATTTCAGTTGCTAATCAGAACCTGACAATATCAGGCAGGCAGAAGGCAGAAATTAATGTAGCAGGGATTTTTATTATCAAAATTATTTTTTTCTATTTTTCATTTTTCACGGGATCCCTATAGATTAGTATCTCCCTCTATAAGCAAACTATTGAAAGGACCTTTTTATTGCATTCCAAGCTGCATCTGTTCAGTTGCTTAAGAATGGGTTTAGTTTTTTAGCAGCTTTATAGAGATGTGATTTACACATGAAATTGACCTGTTTCAAGTGTATAATTTTAATATATTTAGAGAATTGTACAGTCATCATCTCATTCTCGTTTTATAACATTTAGGATATCCAAAAAGAAACCTTATACCTCTTAACAGTCACCCTTTAGTACCACCTCAGCCCTAGACAGCCACTAATCTATTTTATCTATTTTAAACTTTTTTAGCTGTTAATAAAATCATAAATACAGAGGTTTTTGTCTAGTTTATTTAGGTTTTTGAGATTCAACCACACTGTTGCATGTATTGTAACTCATTTCTTTTTATTGTTGCATGGTATTCCATTGTGTAGCTATGCCAGATTTTATTCAAGAGTAAGCTTTTGATATAGGGAATAGCTCTTCCAGTCTCCCCCTTCCCCCAAATAAAACCTGCTTATTAAGATTACCTACCCAGAAATCCTGGCTTTGGTGATGAAGCCAGACAATTAGTAATTTACATAACAGTTCATGATTAAAATAATATACTTACAGTGACTTGCTGTTAAACTACTGAAAGTTTGTTTTGTTCATTTCATTTCATTTCTAGGTAAGACCATTGCAATTGGAAAAGTTCTGAAACTGGTTCCAGAGAAAGACTAAGCATTTTCTCAATGACCCTGCACAATACTGTGAGGAAAATTGACTGCAAAAGCCTACTTCACACCGCCTTCTCTTATTTTCTGCCCATTTATAAACCTCTCCCCGTATTTTGCAAAAGAAAAAATTCATAGCAAAAGTCCACATTATGTCAGCTTTCTCATATTGAGAGCTCTGCTATGCCACTGTTGAGTTTTTCTGAAGATGACCCCCTCCCCACCCCCAAACTGCTTCCTTGGACAGATTTGGCAATAGCTTTGTAAGTGATGTGGACATAATTGCCTACAATAATGAAAACCTATAAAATTTTTTTGTTTTTCATTTCCCCCTTAGGCATAATTAGTCTTTTTTCCCAGGCAGATCATTCTGAGTGTGCGAGTGTGTGTGCACATGTTACAGACAACTACCATGTTAATAAAATATTCAATTTGAAACCCTTTTTGGTATTTGAATTGCTTTTGAATAATGTTTTTTACCTGGATGTAACATTGTTGCATTAGCTTTTTAACTTTCCCAAGTAATTGAATACATTTTATTACTTGGGCTTTTCTAAACTCTTTCCCTACTCACTACTTTAAATGAGGCATTTACAATGTTCAAGTTTGTACTAGAGGAAAGAAATAGTTTGACCCCTTCTTTTGATGGTTAATGTATACACAGTTAAATACCTTTGTGCAACTGTGACACTGCTTTACTAACTAGGTCTGTCCGTTATTTTCTGCCAATTTGTATTTTAACATGATTTGTTAAGCACAGTAGACTGTGTTAAAAGAACAAAACAAAACAGCATACTTTTGTTTTTTTGGTAAGGAAAGCTTAATGAAATTGTGCCCCTATAAAAAATTCCATTAACTGGTTTTAGATTAGTGGAATTTACAATAAAGAAAGCATGTTGAGACCTGGCAAAAATGCCTCTTTTAGTACTTATAAGAGCTGCATGTATCTAGTATGGAAACTATATAAGTGCCAGTTATACAAATTACTTTGTATCAGTAACTTCAAAGGTTGGAAGATTCTTGCTAGTTAAAGCCAGTCTTAGTCCAGCAACTCAGTGAACACATATGTAGAATCAGCAAAATCTGCAGAGACTAAAACTAATAGTGATAAATGTAGAATCAAGCACAGTATAAGTTTTATCTCAATTATTTGAAATTGAGTTTTCTTTATTAAGTATAAAGCTGAAATTTGCTAACCATGATTTGGATGAATCACAGAGCAGCACTGTGATGGTTCTTAGAGTGAAGGCAACTTTTCTGCTACAACCATGGTGACTCTGAAGTTTTTCTTGAGAATAAATGGGAAATGGAAGAGATCATTCCTGGGTTTATCAGAAGCCTTCTTCATGTTGAGTGAGTGTTGCCATGTGTCAGACCATGTGTCAAAAACTCTTTTACATTGTGATTTTTTTCTAAATTAGATATTTTGTAATTGTATGTTTAATAACATGACCCCTTCTCTGTAACCTTTTTCCTCAGAAAACAAAAGCCTACTTCCAGCCACAAAATATAAATCTGACAGTGTCTTAACCGTAGATTTCCCATTCATGAAATGAATGAGCCTACATCTTATGGACAGGACAAACTTAAGTTACTTCCTACAGCTTCTTAAAACTATATTTATCACTATTAAATTGCATGAAATTTAAATTTTATGTTTGAAATTCTCTAGGCTTTTATTTTTCTGGGAAATACAGGAGCTTTAGTCAGAACATAATCTTTTTGTACTTCCATGTTGATGAGTAATACTAGCAATTGCTTGGATTTTTTTTTTTAATTGCTTGGATTTTAATGAACCTTTAAAAGTTCATATGTCACTGAAATTATTTCCAAAGATAATTTCCCTTTTTAAATTGAACACATTTTTAAAAAACCAGTTATGTTTGCATTAAAACATACCTAGAATATTATGTGCATTTTGCCAAGACTAAGTAAAATGACTTGGACAGCAACTGTGAAGGGCCTACCTCTGTCAAAAGAAAAAAAAAGATAATAGAAGTACAAATGTAATTTTTAAAAAATTCGTTGGACTCTTAACATATTTGCAATATTAATACTGTACATTTTATGGGCTTTGAAATTCTTGAAGAAGTATTCCCCACTTAAATTTGGTCTATTTTAAACTTGTGGTTATACTAGCTAGTCATTTGAATATGGAGATAAAATATCTGAAATGAACTTGCGGTGTGTGCAGATGTTTGTTGTATCTTTAAAAGAGCAATACAAATTCCTACTCTTTCATTCTTCTACAAGTGCAAACTGTTCATATGGTTGACAATGCAAAAATAACACAATTGGTTGCATATTTAGCGTATTATAGACTTAAACATTTTTTCTGTATTTAACATAGATATATTAGAACCATGATTTTGTTTGCATCTTTTTATATTAATGATCTTTATACAACTTTCATGCTAGATTATTTAATTATAATATTTTAAATTAATGAACTGAATTTTAAGAGATGTCATTGAAATAAACATCTAAGTAATTGCCATTTTAAACTCTTATTTCTTACTGTGGAAGAAGGGAAAATATATTTGTTTATAATTTGCAAAAAGAATTTATCCAGTGAAAATCTTTGTAAAATCAAACCAAGAGATGAACTGAGTGTATATTGTCATGAAATTAACTGACAAATAGTAAAGTGTTGAATAAATTAAACCCATGTATATTGTTTTGAATTTAAAATCTTGAAATGTCATAATTGAATGTAATAACTTAGTAAACTGTAAAAGTACAGGTTAGTAACTGTAATGAGGTAATTCATACTTGTCTGCTAGTTATAAAAACTATAAGAACTGCTTTTATATGCAACTTTGAAAGTGAACTGTTGAAGAATTACTGGGATCCTCTCAGTTGAACCACTGCAGAAATTTTGGATCATACTTGCAACCAGATGCAGTTTTGCAACCTATGAGAAAGTTGAATTTGGGCAAAAACTGCTCCCATGAACTTTTGGGAGAAAAACAAAACTAAACAAAACAGCTAATCTGCCCTGGCAATCTTCAGGAACACTAGTAATTACTCTGTGATCTTGGATGACTAATTTACACGTGACAGCACTCTAGCACCTTTCCTTTTTGGCATGGACTTGCTCATGGACTGCTGCTTCATGGATGATAGCTTCATTGCTTTGGGTAGAGACTTAAAGTAGTCAAGGGACAACTACACAGTATTTATTTACAGCTCTTAACACCAGGCAACTTTCAACCTTTAAACCCTTTGTGAAAATTCTGGTTACAGCACTATAGCTCTGATTTTAGAATGACTAAATGTTATATTCAGTGTTGGCCTACCTTATTAGAATAAACTGCAATTAATCCTCTCACAGACATACGTAAGGTAGATAGATAGCAGTCAGCTGGATTTGGAGAATTATCTGTCTCCAAATACTGCCTTTATTTCCTCCAACCAATTTTTTCAGTGATTCTAGCAGATGCTATATAATCATGATCTTTTTTCCTTAGAGATCTTGCCATGGTAGCAACCTGTTAAATAAGTGTAATTAATATGCACAATTAAAAAGACTTACTAGGTTTAACTTTAGCAGTTTGTTATATTAGATTTCATAGTGAGTGGAATAGGAAGTGAGTTTTTTTCAGTAGTAATTCAGTCAATTCCATTTGAACCAATTTATTGCCAGAATTTAGATAGGATACATTTGGTTCACCTTTGATGGTTTTGGCTCTAGGATACTGATTCTCAGTATCCTAGAACTTACTAAGTCTTCCCTTTAATAAGTATACTGTACTTCTCACATACCTCTAATCCTTTGCTTCCTTGAAACAGTAATATGCTAGCTGAATTGTTTACAAAGGATTATTACAAGGGCCTGGAGGTGTAGAAGTAGAGATAAAACCTTTTATGTTCTCCAGTGACAGAAACGCAGATAGGCACTAGGTCTGATTGGGCAGAAAACACAAGGATTTCTTAAAGCAAACCCTGAAACAGTAATTGTCTTTTCTGCCTTGTCACACATGCCACTGTGCCCTTTAAAAATTTAACATGAAAAATTCAGGTCTGTGGACAGCACAGGTGAATGACATTTTGTGCTTCCTGAGGCTCCCCTCTGTCAGGCACATTAGCTTAGTGCTTCAGATGTCAGCCCAAGTCCTTGCTACCTCCTTTCCTGCTTCCCGGGGAAGAGTGTTTGTGCTGGAGCTGGAGCTCTGGCACTCCTCAGGTGATCGTCCTCGCCTCCATTTCCTCCACATGCATTAGGTGAAACTGAGGCCTGAGTCTGCAAGGTCTGTATTTTAGGGACTCGAACACTGGGCTCTCAGAAGTATACATGATTGCTTAGTTTCTTCTGTTTGTTTTAAAGGATACATGGACATTTTTCAGGCCAGGGTTTAATGACTAGTTTTTATCAGATAGCCAGTTAATACCTAGATCTCATTTTAAAAAAATAGAGAGGATTAAAGGGAACTTACTAGGTTGGTTGAGTCTTTTAAACCTAATTCCAAAGCATGGAAGAGTGCTCTGTCTAGGTAGGAAAGAAACCATATTCTTATGATTTATAGCTACCTACTGTGCCTGACTTGGTGCCTGTGTGAGGATTAAGCCCTTAGTCTGCTCTTGCAATTATTCAAATGACTGGTTAAAAAATTTTGCTTTTATAATAATAAAAATTGTCATCTTCCCTTTTGACCAGTTTGTCTGTTTGTTTATAATGATGTGTAACATTCCATATTTTTCTGTACACTCCTTTATTTTTGCATCAAGTATTGGAACCATATATCACAAACATGGTTCTAAGAGGCTGTCAAGGAATTTACAAACCTATGCTTGGAAACAGTATACGGCAACCTAACAAAATGAAAACAGCAACTCTATAAAGATGGGTTATAGAAAGTGCTTAAGTAACTATCACAGCATGTAGTTTCATGTGAAAAATAAGTTTGGGGGAAACAGTGATCATTCTGTTAAAACTATGACACTCTACTGATTCAAGACTTTAATAAAAATGAAGAGTACTTGCCCCTGTTGTGTAAGGGCAAGAAGAAACTAATGATAAGGAGAAATAGTATCCACAGTGGCTAACTGGATGGCAATAATACTGTATGTTACTTCATATACTCATCTTTTATACTGTAAGACAGAATCAGTTCCTGGCTTTAACTTTTGGTAACTAGTGTCTAGAATAGGTGTTTGGCATCAAACCAATCTTAGAACTTATGAGCAAGCTTGCTGTAATCAAAAAGGAGGGATTTGCATTTAAAAGTTCCAAATAAAGGCTTTTGTGACATTTCCCAGTATTGAGCACACTTTCTACTCTTAAATGACAAGGCTTCCAGCACTGTCCACCAAATAAACATTTTGTGTGCTTTGTTGAAAGAACAACTTTCTGTCATGTTTTTGGGCCCCAGTTATCAGCACTGCACAGCAGCAAGTAAAAGACTAATGGAGAGTTTTGCACTTCATGGCACATGGAACCAATTTCAGACTCAGGCTTCTTTCAATAGGACAGCTTAAAGCAGAGAGCCTCGAAACCTGGGACACTGCCAAGTGGCACACACCTGGAATCAGCACTTTAAGAAGCTGAGGCAGGAAGATGCTAAGTTTGAGCCCAGCCTGGGCTACTTACCCAACGTAATAGGACCCTGTCATAAAATTTATTTTTACTTTATTTTTTGGTCATAGAATTTATAAAAGGGCTGAGGATGGAGCTCAGTGTGAAGACCCTGCCTTCAATCCCCACTACCACCTCCACCAAAAAAAAAGGAACATTGTAGCTTTGTCGTGAGTGATTATCTCCCAATCTAGAATAAAAGATGACCCCAAACTAATAAAAACAAACTTTTTATAAAGTTTTGCACAGCGCCTGCCTGGCAAGCACAAGGTCGTGAGTTCGATTCCCGGTACTGGAAAAAAAAACAAAAAAAAAACCCAAAAAAACAACAACAACAAAAAAATAAAGTTTTGCAGATTTAAAAGGACCTAGAAAGAAAAAAAGCTTAGTGTTTTTCATCATGTGAAAACACAGGTCCTAGAAAGTATTTTTCACTAACCCCTGCAGTGACAAGATTATACTCCTTTAAGCCTTTATGGTCATTTTAATGCTATATGAATTTTATTTTGAAACCCTGATTCAAAAACAAATTTAACTGAGGCAGTGGGTTAGGCATGCATGTAGCTTAATGGAGAATGCTAAGCAAGAGGTCCTGGGTTTAATCCCCTAGTACCACCAAGAAAGAGTCTGGCTACTAGGAATACAAACATTTAACTTGTTTTGCATCCTTCATTGTGTAATTATATTTTGACTGAACTTTGTGTTTGCTTATAAACTAGTTACAGTACTTAAAATAATTGCAGTCTACATCACTATCTTTTTTTTTTTTTTTTTTAAGGCAGTCTCTGTAGTTTAGGCTGGTCTTAAATTCACTCCGTAGCTCAGGCTGGCCTCAAACTCATCCTGCCTCAGCCTCAAGTGCTGGGATTATAAGCATATGCCAACATGCCTGGTGTTCTACATCACTATTTTAATTCCTTTATAAATACACTAAATTTCAGTCTAAGAATTAAGATTCTTAGGAATAAATACAATTTGTAAAGAAATTCCAGCAGACAGAACTTGTGTGCAAAGGAGAGGATGTTTTATTAAAGTAAAATTTGCATACAGTGAAGTGCACAGATCTAAATTTACAAGTTTGTTAAGAGTACACACCTTTGTACATATCCCAGGTGACATCTCCACTACTCCAGAAAGCCCTCTTCTGCCCCTTTCCAATCAGTCTGCCAAAGTAATCACTGTATTGCCATTTTTTGAACTCTACACATAATCATACAGGATGTACTCTATTTTGTCTTTTGCATGCTGTAGCAGGAATTCACTCCTTTTGCTCCTGAGTAATATATCCATTTTATTAGTAACCCACATTTTCAAAGATTTGGCTTTAAAAGGGAGATTTTACTTTCCAATTAGGATTCTTTGTCATGTTGGTTGTAAATACAACTTTTTACCTGCTTTCATGAAACTACTGACAATTTCATGATCCTGGAGGTGGTGAAATAAAAAGTTCTGCTATCCAGTTGAATCTTGAATGCTTTTATTCCTTTTATCTATTTCTAAGTAATGGTAGCAATTTTAACTCTGGACTGTCCTGACCATACTTTCATGTTGCCTGGGCAAGGCTGCAGGACTAGCCTTATTTGTATTTCTCAGGGCTAAATCTTCCCCAACTTTTTTTTGAGGGGCAGGAATTTCTTTAAATTACATGCACCAAGTAATTTTTTTTTTTTTAGAAATTCTTCTACTGGTCTTGTATTATGACCTAATGTTAATATTTTATAATGTCTATTTAAAGCTTTCTTAAAGATGCACTTTGAACTTCACAGCATTCACTGATTATATACTGGTACTGGGTAAAAGAACAGTCATGCAAGTTGTTAGCTGTTTATCTCCAGTGATGAAAGAGACCAATGGAGAGGAAGGTACCTTTTTTATATGTATCTAGAAAATAAGCCAGGTATAGTGATGTACACCTGTAACATCAGCACTTGGAGGTTGAGGCATCAATTTGAGACTAGCTTGGGCTATATAGCAAGTTAGAGCCAGTGCAACTTACCAAGACCCTGTCTCAAATATGTAGAAATAATTTTTTAAGAATAGTTATTCCTCAGGGAGCGTAATTTCTCTAAATTGAGGCTGCCTGCATTAAAAAGTTATCTATCAACTGTATAGGGGAGAGCTGGTGTACACTATGTACACTTTGCACCTCTGCTTGGGATACCCATGCAGCCTACATAGAAGTTCAGAGAATCAACGAACTTAGGTGGAGAGAGCTGAGCTACTGAAAACTTCTTTCCATTTTCTTCTCCCCACTACAGTAATCTAACTGTTCTCCAGGACTCCTGCCCCAAGTTTGTTCTTCCTTAAATCAGAATTTAGTATCAATTTCTTTTAGTTGGTCATTTCTTCCCTGCTTGAACACAAGTGCAGTGGCTCCTGCCTAGCCTCTAAAACAAAGTTTTATTTATCAATACATTTAATAATGGTCACACTATTCTCAGCAAAGGAAAGGAGAGCTAACTAACCTTATGTTACTATGTATGTGCCTGGGACTGCATACAGCATTCTCTTGAGTCTTATGGGGAACTAGCTTTATTTTACAAATGGAGAAATTAAGGCCTGGCTAACATGTGCATAGCTGAACAACTAGTAAATCACAGTTGGGATTTCAGACTCAGATCTTTCTGATTAAGAAAACTATGTCCTTTCTACCTTTCTAAAAATGTCACATTCTGTACTTTCTGTGTTTAAGCAATATTATTTCCCCTCTTTCCTATATTTCAGCAGTATTAATTCCATTTTGTGTAGGTTAATACTATGTAGCAGATTTCAGTACCAGGAATGTGCTGAGTATCCTGAGGATACTAACAAAAAAACCCCTAAAAAATGGTTTTTAAATAATCTAGACATGACATTTCTTTTGTCATTTCATTTTTCTTTTGTTAATTGCCATCGGTAACTACTCTGACTTGGCAGGGCTGTCTAAGAAAGATTTTTAATAGTTTTTAAGAGGTACCTGATGATTCTAGCAAATGATTATTTTGAAGTTAACTGGTGTGAACTTTCTTCAGCTTTGCCACCTAACAACATTCAAACAACTCTGGCAGATAGCTACATTATCATTATCAAACTGTTAATAAAACTATATAGTACTACTTTGCACATAGTTAATGGCATTTTGTTAAGCAGGAACATTTTCAACTACCAAGGCAAACTGCAAGTTCAGTGAGATTCTGCAATACCTTCAGAGAGAAACAACTCGGTATTGAAACCTGAGCACTGAACTGTTGAATTTAAAATCTGTTATTTAAAATTTATGTTTACTATAAAGAAATGCTGCAAAAGTTAACTGTTCAATTAGAAATGTTCACTCTTTGATATGTGCATATTGTTTTTAAAAAGAAATTCATAAAACTGATTTAGGATGAGTTAATCCTTAATTCAGTCTCTATTATGACTACCTGTGCTATTCCTTTGCAAATACTAGGTTTACTAGAATGGCTATCATAAAGAAATAATAACAAATACTGGTGAGGCTGCAGGTGGGAAAGGAACCCTTCTACATTTTTGACGGGAATGTGAAGTGGTACAACCATTATGGAAATCAGTATGGAGATTCATCAAAAAACTGAAACAAAAAAATCCCCAAAAGTAAAACAAGGAATTCCATTCAAACCAGCTATTCCCCTTCTAGTTATCTTCCTGAAAGAGTTAAAGTCAGAGTTAATGTCAGAGTGAAGCAGCATAACTCATTATAGTTAAATCTTAAAATCAGCCTGTATGTCCATCAACAGATGAATGGATAAAGAAAAATTGTAGCATTTGTACACAATGGGATACTATTCTGCCAGAAAGAATAAACTTGAGACATTTGTAGGAAAAAGGATCCACCCTGAAACCATAATGTTAAGTGAAATAAATCAGTGACACAAGCTTAAATGTCACATGGTTTCTCTTATATAAGAAGCCAAAATATAAAGAGCCTAGTAAAAAACAGAGATATAGATCTTTTGCAAAAGTGAAGGGGACCAAAAGATGGAGAGAGGGAAGGAAGAAAGGAGGGGAGGAGAAGGGGATAAAAAAAGAATTTAAGACGTCTTATGTACATGTACCAACTCCCCATGAAGTATATAATCATGTACTGCAAACATGTACCAATTTTTTTTTAAAAAGGCAAGTTGTCAACTGGAGTAAAATATTTATGTAAGACAAAGACAATTTGTATAAAGATAAACATTTGTACAAAGAAATTTAGGAAAATAGCAAATAAAAAAGTTCCTCACATTACTAGACATGCAGAAAATCTGAATTTAATCCACTATTAAATAGCACTATATATGCACTAGAATAACTATGAAAATTATTGGTGAGGATATGGAACAACTGAAAATCAAACTTTGGTAAGGTTGTAAAATATTCTTTGGAAAAAAGTTTAGTCATTCATTTTTTTTTTTTTTTTTTGGTACTGGGAATTGAACTCAGGGCCTTACAATGGCCAGGCAGGCACTGTGATGATGAGCTATATTCCTATTAAGCTATCAACCCCACTCTTACTTACCTATTATGAATGAAAACGTACTCATGACCAAAAACTGCAAGAAAATCTAAATGTCTGTCAACTAGTGAATGGATAAATATTACATACATATCCATATACTGGAAAACTACCGAAATACCCAAGGACATTGATAAAAATAATTAATTAATTTTTGAATGAAATATTTCTCTCATTACTAGAGTCAAATTTAATGAGAAGAACATGGGTTTGTTTTTCAGGTTAGTTTATTTTAAAAGAACAACTGAGCTGGGCATGGTGACACACACCTGTGATTCCAGCATTCTGGAAGGTCACAACAGGAGGACTAAAAGTATAGCTCAACCTAGGCAACTTAGTGACATAGCAAGACCCTATCTCAAACATTTTAAAAAGGGCCGAGCCGGGCATGGTGGGTCATGCCTATAATCCCAGTACTTGGGAGATTGAGGCAAGAGGATCACTGTGAGTTTGAGGTCAGCCTGGGCTACAAAGTGAGCTCAAGACCAGCCTGAACTACATAGTGAACCCTGTCTCAAAATAAATGCATACATATGTACGTACATACATAAATAAGTAAAAAGGACTGAGGGTATAATCAGGGATGAAGCACTTGCCTAGCATGTGTGAGGCCCCAGGTTCCATTCCCAGTACCACAAATCAATAAATGGAGAGAAGGGAGGACAGAATGATACCATAGTCTCCCAATTTTAGTATACATATAGTGCTGCCAAAGCCAGCACTACCATCTCTCAGAAAGAGTACATGTGAAGCAGAGAAATCTATCAAAAGAGAATAGGAGGAAGAAAGTGCATAAAGCCTTAAGAAGGCAAGAAAAGATTCACTGATTCTTTCAAATGGTAACTATTTGCTCATTCTGTGCCAGGCAGGCCCTGTGTGATCACTCCTGACCCTCAACACAGTCCAGTAGAGGAAATGAAGTAATGAACAGTTATTATCACAATCAGGAAGAGAAACTTTTCTACTATTATTGCTATTCTTTCAGGTTTAGTTTTGGAGGTTTTATTTTGGTTTTTCTCATCAGATAAGCTCTTATGTTGCCCAGGCTGGCACTGAACTGGGCTCAAGCAATCTTCCTGCCTCAGCCTCCTGAGTAGCTGAGACTACAGGTGCACCTGGCTAATTCCTTCAGTTTTTAAGTCATCTTTCTAAGTTCCATGTGTGCAACTATAATACTTACACAGTATTTATCACATCCTGCTTTGTACACCTTGTAGATTGTAAACTGCTCATGGTAGGCACCACACACAAATTGGGTAACTATGGGTTTAAAGATGAGGTGACTACCCTGGAGAGGGTCAATCTGTGGGCAAACCAAAATGCTAACAGGTAATTCAATAAATGCTATATATAACAAGTAAGTGTTATTATATGTATTATTCAGGCTGTCAAAAAGAAGGGGTAATATAACAAATTCTCTGGAACATAAATACTTTCAGTGCATTTGCCTTAGTGATAAAAATTTAAAATATACCATCATTCCATTTTTCTTCCATCTCTCACATTCCTTATTGAAATTACTTTCTGTAAAGTCAACAGGACCTAACCACTCCCCAAAAAGGGCCTTTTATCTTTATTCTACTTCACTTCTCCAGTATTTGATAGTATTAACAAATCACTAAATATCTCCACCACTTCATGACTTGTGAAACATGACACCCTCTATCTCTGTCTGTCTCCTCCTTCTTCCTTCCCTTGCTCGCCCACTTGCTACATCCCCACTCCTGTATTTTTTATTTTAAAGTTGTCTATGCAGGACTTGAAATTGAAGTCCTCCTGCCTCAGTCTCCCCAACTGCTAGAATTAAAGGCATGTGTCACTGTGCTTGGCTTCTACAGCCCCACTCCTGCTCTATATTTCTCTCTGCAATTTCACTTATTTCTGCTTCTTTAACCATCCCCATGAAGATGATTTCTAAATTTCCTTCTTTAGTTTAGAAACACTGTCTTCCACATTCCATAACCAATTAGACGTACCACTGAAAAGACATCCTATCACCTCATACTGTATTTGATAGAAGCAAGTTACTAAGTCTAGCCCACACTCGAGGCGAGAATAAACCTCCAGCACTTGAGGTAGGAAATATCAATGAATTTGCAAACAGGATACTCTTTAACACCACAATCAGATTCAATTAACTTTCCTAAAGGATAATCCTAAACATAATCCCACCGTTTCTTCTCCCCTACCAAACAGTTCAAAACCCTCAATCTTAAGCCAGTGTAGTGGCACCTACCTGTAATCCCAGCACTTGGGAGGCTGAAGCAGGAGGACTGCTTTGAGTTGGAGGCCATGCTGGGCTACACAGTGAGTTCAAGGCTGAAGTACATAGCAAGAGTTTGTCTCAAAAAACAGAAACAGCCACCACCACAACAAAATCCGTACCTTTACAATTTCGTTACTAAACAAATTGTAACATAGCTACATGATGGGGTGCCATCCGGCCATTAAAACAGATGAAGCAGAGCTTCATGTACTGATTTGGAACAACCTTCAAGATACCCTATACTGCCCAGAGTGGTGGAGCACGTCTGTAATCCCAGCACTCAGGAGGCTGAGGCAGGAGAATCGCTGCGAGTTCAAGGTCACTCTCGACTACATAGTGAGCTTGAGACCAGCCTGAACTGCATAGCGAGACCCTGTCTCAACCCCTTACTCCCCCAAAACTCCATATATTATGGGGAAAATGCTAGGTGCAGAACAATGGGTATACTAGGCTATTTTTTGTGAGGGGGGAAAAAATCCTCCATCCATAAAGAAGAAGTCTTTCCTAAACAAGACTAGAACATTTCTGGAGAGATGCAGGAGATACTGTGGTACGTTGGCTACCTCTACGAAGGCGCACAGGGCGGGAGGGACACGTTCTACCGCACTCCATCTGCCTGTGATCCAGCCTCCACACTTACTCGTAGCGTAAGATCTTACCTCCCGCCTCTCTGGGAGACCATAAGCTCCGAGGGTCCGTCCGGATCTGATTCATCTTGGGAGCCTCACGCCGGATAACGGTGCACCTGGTGCTTCAGTTCCGTATTTCAAGGAATCCCCACCAGCCAGGAGGAGGCGTCACCTAGAGTCCCTCTGCAGGAGGGTGGCAGAGTCAGGACGCTGCACTCTTCCCTGCGCGCCGCAGAGCAGATCACACTGGGTGGCCAGACAGGGTACTTCTTCCACCTCAAGGCGATTTCTCAATTTTCTTCGTGGAAGAGCGACAAGGGTCGACGAGTCCCGCGCTTCGTGGAACGGAAGAAGCGGCGCTGCTTCAGCAAAGAGGCTGTGACTGAAGGCCTAAGCGACTAAGACCTTTAGCGCCCATCCAGACCGACTGCGCGACGCTGGGAACTCAAACTGCGCGCCCTCCCGGAAATGACGCACAAAACTCGGATCCTGCCCCTTGATTTCCGGTTCCGGGCCTCGCTTACGCCTGCGCACAGGAATCCAGCTCCTGAGTAGTCCGCCTGTTTGCACGAGGTGTGAGCGAAATGGAGGACTCGTCTTCCGCCCAAGAGTCGGCTTTACCCACCACCTCGACTCCCGCGGAGCTGACCTCACTAGAGCAGCTGGACAAAGAGCAGGTGAGTGCCCCTGAGGAGATAGGTTTCGAAGCAAAGTACCCTTGACCCTTGTAAGGCCGGGAGGTCGCAAGGTGAGGCCGGGAAACATATAGCGGGCTCCGTGCCCCCATGGACGCCCCCGGAGCCCTGGCGGCGGGGGGGTGGTGTCTCTTGCTGGCCGTGCCTGTTTATTCGCACGATGGACGCCTGCTTCGCCGACACCTGCAGTCTGGCCCTCTTAAATTGGATTGCGAGTATAGCTCGGGATTTTGCGGTGGGTTTGACGAGGCTTTGTTTTCCTACCGTTTGGCCTTAGCCAAGTCTTTAAATAACTTTGCAAGAGTTATTTAAAATGGGCTCTTCTCGCCGTTCTCCAGGATCGCAGGAGGTAATCCGTGTGAACTCCTGTGGCACGTAGCGCTCTGTAAACGCTACGTGCTGTTTCGCGCTTTTCCTGAGATAACTGCCTTGCTCATTTGAGGTTAGGAGAAGCTGTTCCCATCTGGCCCAATCCCAAGAAAAGGCGCCTTTCTGTAGGCAGGTGCTAGACGCGTGTGCTTAGGCATTGTGGATGGACTGACTGAGTATAAACTGCAGCACCCTAAAAGAAAGTAGTAAAAGTTGCCTATTACAGACAGTGGATGGGGGGGAAATGTGTGTGTGTGGTGTCCAATTATTTTGAGAAAATTAACTTGTGTATCTATACTTGCAGATTAGAAAGGCAGTGGAAGCTTTGTTGACACATTCTAAGTCCAGGAAGAACAAAAATGGATTGCTTTTGAATGAAAATGAAAATTTATTTTTAATGGTGGTACTATGGAAAATTCCAGGAAAAGAACTGAGGGTCAGATTGTAAGTTCTGTTTTTCAGTTTGTGCTCTTTTTATATGCTTATTCCTTCTTTGTACCTTTAACAGTTGCAGCTTAGTTTCTAAGGGAAACTTTGCAAACTCAAGATAAAAATTTAAGATGAAAGCCTGGTGTGGTGGCACACCTGTAATACCAGCGCTCCGGAGGCTGAGGCAGGAGGATTGTTGCAAGTTGGAGACCAGCCTGGGCTGCAAAGTGAGCTCAAGGCCAACCCGAACTGCACATTAGACCCTGTCCTGAAAGACATACATACATACATACATACATAAATAAATAAAACAAAAAAATTAAGATCAAAGAAAATAACTAGTGTTAAAAGAACTGTAGGAATTTAGATATGTTAAAATTTTTCAGAAATTCCAGTTTTCTGGGTGGGGGGATGTCTTTTGGTTTAAAACCTACTGCCTGGGCTGGGGATTTAGCTCAGCGGCAAAAGCGCCTGCCTGGCAAGCGCAAGGTCGTGAGTTCGGTTCCCGGTACCGGAGAAAAACCAAAAAAAAAAAAAAAAAAAAAACCTACTGCCTGACAGGTTGAAGGTAGCATAAGTATCTTCTGTTTTTTAGTGGAACGTGTTAATTTTAATCATACTAAAATGGGTGTCTGAGGACCCAAGCTCACCCCTTAAAGGGACTGTTAAAAACCTGACAATGAACTTTCCATAGGAAAAAAACCCCTGTATTCTTACTGCTAGGAGCCTTAGATTCTCTTTCTATAGAGTTGGCAAATTTAGCAAATAAAAAGATTTCTTAGTATAAATAGATTCTAGGCATTATTCAGGACCTACTTAGACTAAAAGAGATTTTTTGGAGCTGGACGTGTGGCACACATCTATAATTCAGAGGGTTGCAAGTTTGAGACCAGCCTGGGTAACTTACTTGTTGCAGAAAACTAATATCAAATCAAAGGAAAGACTCTCTGTATTGAGGAGTTAGAAGGCAAGTTTTAGTATGTTAGCAGGCTGGGGAACCCGGAGGTTCAAATCATCAGCCCAGAATCGGGTTTGAGTTCAGTTTAAATATGGTTTGCAAGTGGGAAGTACAAACCTGATAGCAGGTTATTACATGATTGGTTTTATGGAATACAAGTACTGTCATACATTGTCAGGCAGAATTATACAGGAACATTTTGGGAGGGAGGGAGCCTGAAAAGAGTAGGTAGATTTGAAAGTGGCCTTGAGTGGGCCAGTCTTCCCCAAACATGATGTCCTTGAAGTCCTTGAACCTGAAGCAAGTTGGAATCACCGCGTATTTTTAAAACACAAGCTAGACACAGTTTGACTCTACACATTATTGAGGGGGAACATCTGGGCCTAAAAAGTGAAGGCTACACGAATGCAGTAAGCTAACTGTGGTCACAGGCCTCTAATTGATTTCTAAGTTTTGCTATAACATGCCTACAAGTCTGCTATTCTATAAATGTGCCCTTATATCCCCCCCTGTTTTGATTATAGAGGAAACTCTTTCTTCAGTACTAAGGAGCTGGCAAGGCGAAATGACTTGTAAAAGGAGTTGGTGGTGCATAGCTTTAAAGTGTTTAGTCAGGGAGTGACTCCATGAGGGGAGAAAACCTAAAGACCCCCACCAGGAAGAGCCTCCCATAGATTAGGAACCCTGTGTTCAAGGTGTTTCCATTAGCTGATGGGAGTTTTTTCTTCATATTTCCAACTTGTTAGCGTAGTAACAATATTCTTCCTCTAGGAAGAGGCAGGTACCTCCATATTGGGCTGTTAGGAGATCTAAGGCTCTGATTTTGGAGAATAACTGCAGTTAATGAGTATATCTATCCTGCAGTGTGTCTGTTGAGGTCTGTACGTTAGCAAAATCTCCAGTAATCTGTGCATTTAATTGTGAGTATTGTTGATTTCTGACTTTTACTATAGTATGCCTACAAGTCTGCTATTCTATAAAAGTGTGCCCTTACATAATGGCTTAGGGAGATCATGTCTCAGAATTTAAAGGGGGAGGGCTCTGTGTGGGCACAGCTCAGTTCAAAGACCTTAGGTTCAACCCCCAGTACCATGTAAAACAAAACATTTTGTTAGCCTGAAGCTCAGATTTAACTGAGTGTCCTGTAGTCTATCAGTCCTGCCTTTCTGCCAGAGTCTGCTCTGGTTAAGAAAGCAGTTTACTGGGATAGGTTTTCTTTTCCCTCAAAAAAGTGGGATGGTTAGAAAGAGGAAAGATACTTTCCATTCCTAGATTGTCTTACCCGATACTCAGCCAGATCCATATTCAGCCAGTTGTTTATATTCTGCTTGCTTGCTTTCTTCTACATCTTTACTCTGCCAGTTTTCCCCTCTGGAAAGCCTTTCCTGTTCTCTAGGATATATACCCAACTGCTTGACTCTAGGGTGTGCTGTCACCTACTTACAGCATGTACTGTCTCGTATGGTGAGTTATACTCCTGTGTATAGTGTATGTTTTGATTATAGAAATACTGTTTCTTCAGAACACTTGGGCTAAGAAATGACTTGTGTTATTGTTCAAGACTTAGTGTAACAGTACATGTTTGTTGGTTGGTCCCTCTTGGCTCGTTTCATGTTTTCGGTTCCAACTCAAATTCTGTTATTTATGGAGCTAAGACTTTTTAAGAAGATAAGGGTCTAAGCCTGAACTTCATCAGTACTGAACTGATGAAATGAAGTTAATTGGAGTCAGAATTTCTTGTGTTTTTTTTTGGTTTTGGTTTTTCTCCGGTACCGGGAACCGAACTCATGACCTTGCGCTTGCCAGGCAGGCGTTTTTTGCCGCTGAGCTAAATCCCCAGCCCCTGAAATGAAGTTAATTGTATCGCATGAAATTACATATGCTTGTGTAGCAATAGATAACAGGTATAGTAATTACATATGCACTATTTGGGTGTGTTTGATTACATTTTAATTTGTTATATCCCAAATATTAATTAATATTTTGGCCTATGGGTGTTTTTTGGTGATATATTGACTTTTTTTGTTGTTATTGTTTCTTGTTTGTTTGGTTTTTGGTGATACTAGGGATTGTAACCAGGGGCTGCACAATGAGCTGTATCCCCACACATATTTTAATTTTTATTTTGGGACAGGATCTCACTAAGTTGCTAAGTTGCCCAGAATAGACTGGAACTTGCAGTCAGGATGCTTCAGCCTCCCAGAGTCCTGAGGTTACAGGCATGCACTACCATGTCTGGCTCTTAAAGAGATATTTCTTCAGTGTTGTACTCACCTAAATAGCTTGAATAAAGGTTATTAAAATGACAGTAAATATATATTCTGAGTGATAATAAATATGTATATTGTCTATAATAATGTTTTACTTCCTGTCTCTATCTTGTGTATTTTGCAGGTCCTTGCCTCATGGTATTCGATCAGATTTGTCAGAAATCTGTTTATTTACCAAGGATGAACTCCAGTCACCTGAACAGACAGAACGCTTCTATAGAAAGCTTTTGAACAAACATGGAATTAAAACAATTTCTCGGGTAGGAAGCAGGTTAACATTTTCAAATCATTTAAAAGATGCAATTCAAATGAAGCAAATATAACACAGTGTTCTATTTTATAGTATTTTTCGCTCTCTAATTTGTTGTAGCTCTAGGTAGGGTGTATTCCATCTTGTCTCCAATGGAAGAGCTGTTGAGGTTTGTGACCTAAAAGCTAAATGTATACATCAGGAACTTTTATATCTTGCAGATTATTTTTAAATTTCTCATTTTTTGTCATTCTTCTGTACTTGCAGAACATCATTTTTCTGTCCCTAACTCTCCCTCTTTTGTAGTTGTTGGTATATTTGTCCTTATTACCCTCTGGCTCTTTAGCTAGGATCCTTTGTCATAGTGTCCCCCAGCATTTAGCATACTGCTTGGCAGTATGCTGAAGATAGTAGATCTTAGATACTCATGTGTTCACTGAACTGTGAGAGGTGTGGTTCTAGGACATTTTAAAATCTGAGTACAAATTGTTGCCTTCTCCTTATTCGAGTTCTTTATGTATTTGTACTTTTCATGTTTTCTAGATTATCCCTTTCCGAACTTTAAAAACAGAGTATAAAGCCTATGAAGCCAAGCTCCAACTCCTGAATAGTTTTGACTTCTTCCTTACTGATGAAAGAATTAGGCGGCTTTTGCCCTCGCACATAGGAAGACATTTCTATCAAAGGAAAAAGTAGGTTTCTCAGTAGTGACTAAACTTCAGCAGCATGGAAATGTAGGTGTGTACACACTGTATTCTGATGCCTGTGTCCTCCTGTAGAGTTCCAGTATCTGTAAACCTGCTGGCCAAGAATTTATCAGAAGAGATCAACAACTCCCTAGGTGGGACTGTCTTAAACATCTCCAAAAGTGGTTCTTGCAGGTAGGTGACACCACTTACATATGCTTCTTTCAGTCTTACACTTCGTAGTGATTTGATCTACTTTTTGAAAAGGCAGTGTTAATGAGACCAGCCCTTCTGTTGAAACTGAAATTCCTTCCTTAGAAGTATTCAGTTCTCTGGTACAGTGCTGTCCTTTAGAACCTACTAGAATCTTCTGCTCTCGTGGCAGTTGTCTTTGTCTGAGATGACTCTGACAGGAGCCACTGGCTGTAGTGACTGCTGAGTACTTGACATGTGTCTGCTGTGTCTGAGTAACTTTTTTTGTTTCTGAGTAACTTTTAAAGTATTCTGTGATTTAATTAAATAAGCATATATGGCTAAGGCTGGTGGTTATCATATTGGACAGTCTAAATACTAGAGCAAAGAGAATAAGATTAATGCTTAGAGAATATTAGCAGTTCTCAGTTTGCATACTATCTTTTAAAGTAAGGATCCACCTTGGTCTTGGTTTAATTTTGTCTTAATAAATTCAGTGTCCATCCGGAACCATCAAACTGCCCTGTGTCTGTTTTGTCCTTTTTTTGAGACAGGGTCTCGCTCTGCAGTTCAGGCCAACTTTGAGCTCACTTTGTAGCCCAGGCTGGTCTCAAACTCACAGCGATTCTCCTGCCTCAGCCTCCCAAGTGCCGGGATTATAGGTGTGTGCGCCACCACACCCGGCCTGTTCTGTCCTTTTGATTTAATCTTACCCATGATACTGAGGTAGATGGAGCCCCTACACCTAGACTTGGATGGCAGAAAAGACCTTTGAGGGCAATAATTGCTTTCCAGCCTGAGCTAGGCAGAGAATGTGAAGTGGGCAGTTTGTCTCCAGGTAAAGCTGAGCTTGGTGTGGGTGGGCTCTGGAGTTGCCTTCTGCCATGCAATGGGCCTGGGGGATGCCCCTTGGTTGGTGCAATTAAGTAGTTAACAAGAGTTAATCGTTGGGCCTGGACCTCCTATCCATGGCTCATGGGATCAGTGAGTAGTTGGAAGGAGGAAACAGTGTCATGAAGACAGATGAAAGAGTTAGTCTCCTGCTGCTGAAGATTTTTTAAGCCAAACAACTATAGCTGAAGGCAACTGAAGAAAAACACTTCTACGTCATTCCTTCATCTGTTTTCTTGCTTTTCCCTAATAAATAGTATAGTTCCTTGTCTTCTTTTGTCTTCCCCACACCCTCCTTTTTTTCCTGCCTGGAAGCCAAAGCCATCCTGACTGGCAGAAGGCTCATCCTCATAGGCAGTAGGCTAACAGGCGCATAAGTGGACAGTGCCAACCTCTGGTGGAGTGAGGTGTGAGAGCCCCGGCCCTGGCTCATCCTTTCGCTCCCGTGGCAGGAGGTGTGCTGGCAGGGCAGTTTCAGGCCAGGAGCACAGCGGGGCTTCCTGCTTGGTGCCTGTCCACACTCTGCTTCAGCTCAAGGGGTGGTTTGGCTCCTACAGAAGACACTGTTACATAAGTGATAGGAATTTTTTACCGTAGAAGGTAGGCAGCTGGGTCACAGCAGAATTGTAAGGTGGCAGGTGACTCTCCCTGAGGTAGCTCCTCTCACAGCAGCTAAGGGCCTGCCCACACACCTGTGGATTTTCTAGGAAGGAGTTAGAACCTTCTCCAGCTCTGCCTACTCACCCTCCCACTCTCACTCCATTAGTGCCAGCTTAGGAATTACCTGTTTACGGTAGGACACTTCATCTCAGTGAAAGAAATTCCTAGAACATAAGAGGTCTTCCTTTAAAATTTGTTTTGAGTCTAAAACTTTTAATGTTTGTACCTTTTAAATAATACCTTTAGGATTACATTCATTTCTCACAAATCTGCCAGTGCCTTATTTTGTAAAATTCTTTGTCTGCTGCTGTATTGAATTTCAGTGCTGTACGCATTGGTCACACTGGGATGCAGGCTCAAGACGTCACTGAAAACATCGTTGCTGTGGCAGAAAGTCTTTCAAAAAAATTGCCAGAGGTATGATCTGATATGGGCAATGGTTGATTGTTCATTCAAAGTAAGGTAGTATCCTGTGTCTGTAATCCCAGCTACTCAGGAGGCTGGGGCAAGACAATCACAAGTTGAAGGCTGACCTGGACAGCTTGGTGAAACCCTGTCTCGGTATAAAATTTTAAGAAGTTCTGTGGATACATTGCTTCCAGCTCAATGGGCCTAACATGGGAGAGGCCCTGATTTCCATCCCCAATACTACCCCAAGAAAAGGTAAACTAAATATAGATAACATTCTTTTCTTTTTTTCTTTCCAGAAGTGGGAAAGTGTGAAACTCCTGTTTGTGAAAACTGGGAAGTCCGTTTCCCTTCCCATCTTTTCCTCATTTATCTCTTACCGGAATGAGAACAGCAAAATGGTCATCCGTAAGCTGAAGGAAAAGGTTAGTAGAATTTTAAATAGTGAATGAGCTTCATAAGCAAATTAGTAAACTGGGCCGTCATTAGGGAGAACTAGATTGCTGCTCCTGCTGACACTTCCAGTGTCATTTACTGGTTTCCCAGGGTTGTGCTTTTGGCTCATTGTTCCCATTTTGTATAGGTAATGAGTTAGTAATTTGTGTAAATAAGTAAGGCACATGAAGATAAAAATACCTTGCGTTTTAATCTTTGAGGAAGAGGCTAACTAGAAGGAGCCGCCTTTTGCAGAGGCAAAGAAGAAATAAGAGAGGAAAACCAAAATGGTTTATCGGTTACTGCTACTGATGGGCAAAACAAAGGTGGGGAGGCCTCTGAGGTAAAGTCTATGATTAGCATTTACAAAGCCCTGAGTTCAAATCCCAAGACCTGGAAGGGAAAATCTAAGGCTTATTGGAGTGGTAGCTCAATGACAGAGCACTTGCCTAGCATGCTGGAGACCCTGGTTTGATCCTTAGCAGTAGGCCGGGGGTGGAATTGAAGCTCAACCTGTGGGTACATTGGGGCTTTGGGTTGGGGGACATCAAGATGTAAGCCATAGTGCTGGGCATGGTGGCGCACTAATCCCAGCACTCTGGAGGCTGAGGCAGGAGAATCATTGCGAGTTCACGACCAGGCTGGGCTACAAAGTGAGCTCAAGACCAGCTCAAGGCCGGCCTGAACTGCATAGCGAGACCCTGTCTCAAAAAGACAAAAAAAAAAAAAAAAAAAAAGATACAAGCCATAGCAATAGGGAAAGGACAGCTTTCTGCAAAGAATTTGTATTCCTTTCTGCCAGGCATGTACCTCTTAGCCCAGGGTGAACCTAAAGTACATTCCAGGCCGGAGGTATTCTAGAGATTCTAACCAAGCCATTACTATAAATAGGCATGGGCTGTACTTCTGTTCACTTGTACATTGATGATGCCGTGCCTTGGAGTCCTGGAATATTGTGAAAGGGTTTCCTTGTAGAATCTTTACAAGGGATTCCCTAGTGTGCATAACTGGGATTTGATTTCTCTCTACTTCATCCTCTTTCCATCCCACATAGCTGTTAAGGGTTAGGAAATTCCCAGATAAGGCAAAAATGGCTTCGGTGCCCACCTACCTCTTAAGACAAGTTTATCTTGCTTTTGTACTTGTTTTCTTCAGGAAAATGACCCAAAATAACATAAAACTGCTCTTACTGGAAACACAGGATCTGAATTTTTTCTTTTTTTTTTTTTTTGGTTTTTCTCCGGTACCGGGAACCGAACTCACGACCTTGCGCTTGCCAGGCAGGCGCTTTTGCCGTTGAGCTAAATCCCCAGCTCCTGAATTTTTTCTTTATGTCAGCAGATACAGTGGCAGACATTGTGGAGAGGTTGAAATTATTCATTAAAATGGAATTTGACACTAGTGTAGATTTCACATAACAATACCCTAGTAGAAAAAATGAACTGCTACCTGCCTACATTTTTCACTGTTTTGTTTTTTTTTTTTAAATTTTAAAGAGTAAAAGAAGGATAATATAATAATAGGGGGGGCTTACCAAATTACAGACAAAGTGGTAGGAAATTACCAATGGTTATTGTTTTACATATTGTTATCTACAAGATAGTTTCTCAGGAAAACAAATAGACAAATGATAGTGAGTTACAGACAAAAGAGGTAGGAGATTATCAATAGTTGTTGTACTATACTTAGGTATCTTCAAAGTGGCTTCTAAAGAATATAAATAGAACTATACATGAGTGACCTACTGAATAATCATTCAATAATTCTCAGTGGTTGTTGTAGGAAACACATAATAATAAACATGGATCCATTTATGAAATAGCATAGGAACAATGCAAACATTACAGAGTTATGGACAGATTAGTAGGAAAATATCAATGACTGCTGTAATACATGGTGGTATCTTCAAAGTGGTTTCTCAGGAAGACAGAGATACACAAGAAGGCTCTAACAAGTAGTTACAGCGTAAGGGTTGTCAAAAATCAAGTGAGCCGTGTGGGCCAAAGCCATTTTTTGTAGCATTTTCTCTCCAGCCTCCCATCGCATTGGGACCCCACAACCAGTTAGTATCCTCTCCCCAACTGTCAGCACACGCAGCAGGAATCCTGCTGCAGACTTCTCCGGAGCTCCACCACAGCCTGTACTGTCAGGGGAAGAATGGCCTCCAGTGAGTCTCTGCAGGGATTGTGCAAGGTCCTCCTGGTTTACAGCTTCCAAGCGGCTCTCGTGACCCCAGTCCACAGGACCTCTGACTCCATGGGCTTAGTCTGCATTCTCATGTTCTCTGAGTCCTTGTTCAGCAGCTGCTCCTTCGCTGGCTCTGGACCTTTCTGGTTCTCAATGGCAGGAGCAAGAGTGTCCCATTGTATGGCATGTTGTTCAAAGTTTGAATGATTCACACACGTCCGTGGGTGGGCATCTGCAGTCTTTGCATGGTGGGCCAATTGTGTCACTGTTTCCCTGTGTCATGATAGCTCTCAATTGAGCGGCGGCAGCCGGCCTATGGGCCGGCGCGCAACAGCACCCGCCGCCGCATGGCTCCTCATGCGCCGGGGCTCCTCCCTCCGGGAGCCCATGAGGCAGGAAGCTAGCCAGCCGGAAGACCGGCGCTCCCCACCCATTTTTCACTGTTTTAACATTCAGCTTCAACTTAAAGTAGAGAAAAATGGCTGGGGAGTGGTGGTGCAGTTTTACTGACTGGTCGTACTGTATAATTCAGCATTGTTCATTACTCACCTTTATGAGATTAAAATTTTTGCTAACTATGTGCATACTCCAGATAGCCAGCTTCTGAAATAACAATACACAATTTACTAATAAGATGCATCTCTGTTTGAGAGTCAACAATTTGGAACTGTGGTTCAAGTTCTGATAATGGGGTACAAACTACAAGTCTAGGCTCTTTAGCTTAGTAACAATCAGAACTGCTAGTACTAAATCTGTACCTTTTTTTTTATAGTAGTATTCCATGCTGAAATTATGCCTGGTATTTTTTATTAGGAGGCTAAGAAAAAAGAGAAAGAACAAAAACTTCGTGAGAAACGGAAGTTGAAGAGAGAAAAGAAAAAGTTAAAGGAGAAAGCTAAGAAGGCTACATCAGCCGTAACTAAAGGAAGCGTGGCACCTAAAACTAAAGGTGCTTCCGTGAAGAGCCGTGGGTCCCAGAAGAAAAAGACGGGCAAAGTAAAAGCCCAAGTTAAAGTGACAAATGAATCTGATGATGAAATTCCACAACTGGTACCAATAGTTGAGACTCCAGTAAAAGAAAATGTTGAGGTATTTATATCAGCTTTTAATACTCATAAAGAAATGTTTGGTGGCCACTGTAGGGCAGGCAGGCACTGTTTTAAGTGATGAATGAGGGAAAATACTAGAATAAACTAGAAGAACCATGAAGGCAGTTAACTGTGATTACTTTTTCTTGTGAATGTCAGTGGAATGTAATCATGTGTCACTTCATGGCAAGGATACCCTGAAAAATGTATCGCAAAGCAAGTGTGAACATCACAGGACGTGGGTAACACAGACAGGAATGGAATAGGTCTGTGATGGGGAGCTGTGCTGTCGTGAGCTGTGCAAGACGCAGGGCTGGGAGGCTGCTGCTGGTGGAATATGGTACTGTTTTACAGTAAACTTTTATAAATAGGAGTGCAGTCTAAGATGGTAAAAAAAATATATAGGCAGAAGCCAGATGTGAGGGCACATGCCTGTAATCATAGAACTCAGGGAGACCAAGGCAGGAAGGTCTCAAGATCAGGACTGGTCTGGACAACTGAGTGAGATGCTGTCTCAAAAACTGAGTAAAGAAGGGCTGGAGTAGATGAGTGGATGTACTTCAAGACCATAATATTAAGTGAAATAAATCAGACACACAAGCTTAAATATCAGGGTTTCTCTTATACCATACATAAAGATGAAAATGAAAGGTAGTTGGAAGTAGAGATGTCTTTCAGATGGGAAAGGGAACAAGAGACAGAAGGAGCAGGGAGGGCTGGGAACAGTAGGGGATGAGAAAAGAATTAAGATGGGATATGTCCATGTACCAGGTGCCCGTGATAAATGTAATCTTAAGTACTGCAAATGTATACTTAAGAAAGTGGCAGGGGCACTGGGGATGTGGTTCGGTATGAAGGCCCCAAGATTAATCCCCACTACTAAAAAAAAAGCATGGTATCATAAATAGGCAAACCAGTAACATGGCATTTCTCATTATCGAGTATCCTGTGCTGTGCATAGTTCTTTGTGCATATAAACAGGTTTGTTTATACCAGCATCACCACAAACACATGAATGTGTTGTGCTGTATTATGATGGCCACAGAGTCACTAGGCAGTAAGACTCTTCCAGCTCGTTAAAGTCTTACTGGATTCCTTTGGTCTGTCTTTGACCAAAATGTAATTATGCAGCAGAAACAACTTTTTATGTACCTTGGAATCAAGGAAAGAAGACTTGACGTGGTTTTTAATTTGAAGAAGCATTTCCTGTGGATTTAAACAGCAAACTAGGTGGGCTGCGTGTGGTGACACATGCCTCTGATCCCAGCACTCAGGAGGCTGGGGCAAGAGGACCCCTGTGAATTTGAGGCCATTCTGGGCTTCCTAGTGAGTTTGAGGCCAGTCTGGACTATATAGCAAGACGCTGTCACAAAAAAACAAAAACACAGAAAGCAGACCAGGGAGGAGATTTGAAGGTGTACTTGTGAATGTGACTACAAATTGGCACATCAGTAACGTCGGAAAACTTTCCAGGACAAACTTGGATGCTGGATCCTGTCTCTCCCTCCCCCTCTGTCTCCCTCCCTCTCTCTCCCTCTCCCTCCCTCTCTCTCCCTCTTTCTCCCTCTCTCTCCCTCTCTCTCCCTCTCTCTCCCTCTCTCTCCCTCTCTCTCCCTCTCTCTTCCTGTCCTCTCTCTCCCTCCCTCTCTCACATACATACACACACCCACACACCCTCTTGGGGGTTTGTGAGTAGATACTTTAAAATGACCATGATTATTTTTTTGACTCTCTGATAAATGTTTCTCCTTATAGTCATGGTGTCTGTCCAGTGATTAGGGGATGATCTCTTGAAAATGAGAGGGAAGCCAGGTGTGATGGCGAGCCTGGCAAGCCCCTATAACCCCAGCAGGAACCTGATGCAGGAGGATCACAGATTCAAGCCTAGCCTGGGGAACATAGCAAGGGCCTCTCTCAAAATAAAAAATAAGTCTAGGATACAGCTTAGTGCTAATATCCTGTGTTCAGCCCCCGGTACTATCAGGAAAAAAAAACCCAAAAAGGGAGTTGTAGGTTCCTAAGAGACTGGAAGGCTTCCCTGGTGTTCAGAGAACATTCACTGCCCTATGGGCAGAGCCTGCAGCGGGTGTGGCTGAGGGCCCTGGAAGGGTGGTACAGGGGCCCAGGGCTGTTGGTGTGCTTGACCTGTTTCAGACTGGTAACAGTACCCTTAGAATTTTCATCTACTGGTGAAAGTGTTTTTTATAAAGAGATTCCAGAGAACAGTTGAGTATTGAAATATACTTGAAATTAACGAGCAAACATAATAATAAAATGTTTTTACAAAAAGTAAGCTGTTTTTGTTACAGTGTGACTGGCAGGTGATGTGTTAGAAATTAGATGAGGAAAGTGTAGTTGGCTGGATCATGTGTAATGAATTTTGGAAACATTCACACCTTCTGAACTCATCTCAAAAATAGGATAATAATATATGGTAGTGTCATAATTGTTTACTATGGAGGAAGCAAAAGGAGAGAGTGTCATATCTTTGTAATAGCTTATTACAGTCACTAGACATCCTTAATAAGAGTATATGAAGCTGGCGTGGTGGCACACACCTGTAGTCCTAGCATTCCAGAGGCTGAGGCAGGAGGATTGTTGTGAGTTTGAGGCCATCCTGGCAAAAAGTGAGTTCAAGAAACAGCGTGAACTGCATAGTGAGACCCTGTCTCAAAAAGACCAAAAAAAAAATAAAGTTTATAATGTCTGGGAAATAATGGAATAATTAGCAGAAAAAGGGTAGACTACTCTGTTATACGTACTTACGGGGGTAAATAATAGAAATATTAATGATAAACTAGGATTCCTGGGTGTGGTGATATACCTGTATTCTTAGCATTCTGGGAAGCTGAGGCAGGAGGGTTACAAGGTTGAGCTCAGGCAAGTAAGTGAGACTGTCTCAGAGTTATAAGGGATTGGGGACATAGATCAGTGCAAAAGTTCAGGGTTCAGTCCCCAGTACTTCCCCTCCTGCAATATACACACAGAGTCCACCAAAAAAAATAGACGTATTTCAGCAGTTTACTTTGCTAATAAAGGTCTGGAATGTAATGACGACTACTTTCAGCACCTCTTGTAATTATAGAGGCCAAAGGTGACTTGTATTAATCTCATGATACCTTAATAAATATAGTATTAAAATATTTATACAAGTTTTTCTGATGTATACATTTTTTGAGGACTGCGTGTGTGTATATACACACAGCCAGATTATTGGATAGTTACATAGTTGATGTTCAATTTTTCTATAAAAATGAAACCGATATTTAAATTTCTGTTCTTTGTCTTTGTCTGAGCCTGCTTCTAAGCTAGGCTGCAGAGTGCATGGCTAGATTCTCACCAGCAGTCACCTGGGCTGGTTGGAAAACCCAGGATTCCTGGGATATAATGTGCTGCCCTCCAAGAGCCTCTGAGTTTAGCTGTGGGGAGTGGGTTTTTCTAACAGGCACCCAGCTGGACTTTATATGCAGTTTGAGCACCCTCTACCCAACCCACCTGCAAAAGATTTATAACCCAGGTGGGACAGTGTCAGCGTAGGGCACTCTCCCGCTCTGCCCACTGCACTTGCTTCCAGGATTCTGCTCTCACAGGAAACCAGGGAGACTCCAGTGTCCTTTTCAGTCTTTAATGATAGAAAATGGCCATTCCGTGGGTCTTCGTGCAGAAGTTATCATTATGGAATATAACTAACAAAAGCTGTTGGGGTTGGAATGCCAGGCTTTGTTGTTGCTTGGGTTTTTTATTTTTTTATTTTATTTTTTTCTATTTGTTCAGGCTTAACTCTCTTCTTTTTCTTAGGTGCAAAAACATGTCCCAGGGAAGAAGTCTCCAAAAAAGAGTCCTGCTCCCAACACACCGCAGGGCAAGAAGAGAAAGGCCCTACCAGCTGCTGAGGCCCCGGGCGCAGGTCCAGGGAAGAAGCCCAAAATGGGACAGAAGAAGAAACAAAGAAAATCCTCACCAGGGAAGAAAGATCTGAGACAGACTCCAAAAAAGCCAGAGGCCAAGCTCTTCATCCCTGCTAATAAATCTGCAAAGAAAGCTCCCCATACCCCTAAACAGTTGCCAAAAGAATCCAAAGTGCCCCAGTCAACCTAAAATTGGTGACTCACCCAGAAGGAAATAGTAGTTACTTGTCTGTTGGAAAATCCTTTGTTCCTGAGCTCAGTCCACTGCACCATTCAAAATAAATGAGTGAAAACACTTGGCTTCTGATCCACCATTGCAGCCTTCCTCAAAAGTGAGGCATGGATCTAAATATCTTTCAGACCTCCACAAGTAACTCCAACGTGTGTTTAGTTATAAGAAACACTGGTTAAAGTCTTTAATCACTCTTTTGTGTAATTGCTAATGTCAGACAAAATGAATGCTCCTCCATGTTTGTGATTTTTATTATTAAAGTGTAATGTTTGCCTCTGAGTAGACATACTGTTGGCATTCTGTATCTCAAGGATTTGACTGAAAGGGCTGTGGTGTGACCCATTTGCTCGTCTGCTCTAAATGATACATTTGCAGGGCTCCATTACTCTTGTTAGTGCAGAGGGTCCCGAAGCAGCTAGTGAGGGCTAGGCACAGTGGTACAATGCCCCCAGGTTCAATCTCTAGTACAGTAGGATGGGAAAGAAGACAAAACAGGTATGGTGCACACCTGTAATTCTAGCACTCTTGAGGGGCTGAGGCAGGAGGATAAGTTCAAGGCCAGTGTGGCCAACTTAAGACATTTGCCTCAAAGAGGCCTGTGGGTATAGAATTAGAGTACTTGGCTAGCAGGTACCAGGCCCTGGGGTCAACCCCATTATGGGGAGGAGAGGGAATAAAAAAATACAAGCAGTTTCCTTTTAATCCTAGATTTTAATCTCTCAACGCTTAAAATGATTATTGCCTGTTGATAAAACTCGTACAAGGCATTTTGTATACATGAAGTAACAGATGGGGCATAATTCTGACTCCGTGAAAAACGTTAGCTTTCCAAAAGGCATTAGTTGAGGACGTGCAAATACACTTGACTTTTCATTATAGATTTCCACAACAGTCTCAAAAGCTTCATTGAACTCATCCATTCGACTACCAAGTCGCATCCATTTTCCTTGTATTCCTGCAGCCATGTCTACTCAACCTGTTAGCCACCTGAGTTCCTACAGGCTGCCAAGCAGTGCTACACTTGGGAAGTGAATGCACAACATGACAATTGAAGAGCGGGGTCTGGCTAGTGCAGACTCGGGATTCTGATACAATAAGCACTTGGGCTCCAGTGGCCCTGATGCCTAGGAAGCATCTTCCATTGCAAAGTAATTTTAGATGTATTTTTGGGAGGGTGTGCTGTTGGAGATGGGAAAAATACTGAAACCTCCAGTTATCCTCATCACCTACTGAGTGAGAAAAGGAGTACCAGAAACATGAGCTAGTGGGATAGGGCCAGGGATATAGCTCAGCAGCACAGCGCCTGCCTGGCAAGCGCAAGTGAGTTTGATTCCTGGTACCAAAAAAAAAAAAGGATGAAAAGTCAGTACCTGTACCCAGGAACGCGTGCACCCATCAAGCAGAGCCTAAGTGATTATGAACTAAACTTCAACATGTAAATAGTCATGTGTCTATAAAAAGAAAGCTGAGCCAGGAATGGTAGCACACACTTACAATCCCAGCACTCGGGAGGCTGAAGCAAGAGGATCGTTGGAGTTTGAGGCCAGCCTGGGCTACAAAGTGAGCTCAAGGCCAGCCTGAACTGCATATCGAGACTTGTCTCAGAAAAAAGCTGGGCGTGGTGGTAGGTGCCTGTAATTTCAGCACTCAGAACTGAGGCAGGAGGGTTGCAAGTTTGACCCCAGCCTGGGTAATCAGTGATCCAGTGAGACCTGACCTCAAAGTACAAAATAAAAAGTGCTGAGATGAGGGTCAGCCAGTGCAAAAACCCTGGGTTCTGTCCTCAGTAGCTTGAAAGTAAAGAAAAAGTATTTGTTTTTAAAAAATTTACGTATTTATCATTTAAAAGACAACATATCAACATTCATTTTAAACCATTAAACTAGCTTCTCAAAACCAACCCAAAACCTTGTATACTTTCCTAGAAAGAATCTATACACAAGTTCATTAGGAGAAAAGGTGGTGTAGCTCAGTGGTAGAGCACTTGCCTCACATGTATGAGTCCCTGTGTTCTGTGCCAGCACTGCAACACACAGCCACACAGGGCCTCGTGTGCCTGTGCACGCAGTCCTATGTGACACAGGCTGTATGGCTGTCACTTTTCTCACTTAGTTATCGTAAGCTTTTTTCACTGTCCATGTTTATGCCACATAATTGGCTCCGTAACCTTGGCCAGGAATACTGATGGACGCTCTTCCCCTAGTCCTCTCCATCTGTCTCTGGTTCTTTGTGAATGTGAGAAAGGCTTCATTAAACACCCATGTTAGCGTATATGTGCATAGAAGTATGCATAGGGGTCAAGGATGCACACATACAATTTTGAAAGATGTTACTTTTAAAAGCCTATACAGGGGCTGGGGATTTAGCTCAGTGGCAAAAGCGCCTGCCTGGCAAGCGCAAGGTCGTGAGTTCGGTTCCCGGTACCAGAGAAAAACCAAAAAAAAAAAAAAAAAAAAGCCTATACAAAAAATAAAAGTGTATGTCTTAGTTACTTTATCTTGTTGCTCAGACAAAATACCTGAAGCCCAGAGTTAAAGGAAGAAAGGTTTATTTAGTTCACAGTTTGTAGACGTTTCAGTTTATGGCTGGCTCCAAGGCAGGATGGCATGGCAGAGGAGAAATAGTTCTTGGCAGGCAGAAGACAGCAAAACCAAGCAAGCAAGGGAGCTTCTCAGCGTCTTTCTGTCCCTTTTATACTCTTATCTAGGCTACTGGGATTAGGGCAGTGCCACACCAATCCGTGGTCTGATTCAGTGATCACACACCCTTACTCCCAGCATCACACACACACTCTAGACACACCCATTTCTGAAAAACCCCCACCTGTGACACAGGAGGCTTTGGGGGGACACCTAGACAAAGCCATAATAGTGTACAACCGTTTGTGATTTTTTAATACACTTCTTTGATATCAATATTGTCAAATTTTCATATTTGTAGACTTGTTTGACTTTAATTCACATTTCCCTGATGGAATTGGACATGTTTCTTCCAACTGTGTTATTGTGGTAACACATAACATATAATTTTGTATCCTAAACTTTTTGCTTTCTTTTCTTTTTTTTTTAAATTCAGGACCTTCCTATGTACTCTAGGCTGGCACTGAACTCATTATATGACCAGGCTGGCCTCAAAATCATGATCCTCCTGCTTCAGCCTCTTAAGTGCTAGGACTACACACTACCACAATGCCTGGCCTATCCTGACCTTTTTTTTGGACACAGGGTCTCACTATCTGGCTGGCCTTCAACTCACTGTACATCCCAGGCTGCTCTCAAACTCAGTGATCCTCTCACCTTAGCCTCCCAATCCCTGGGACTACAGGTCTGTGCCACCATGCCCGGCCATTACCTTTGGAAATGTACAGGTCATTGGCAGTAAGTGCATTCACACTGTAGTGCAACCAATCTTCAGACCATTGTGGTCCCGAACTTAGAAATCTGGAACTTTGTACCCATTAAACAACTCTCCAGCCCCCAGAAACTGCCTTCTGTCTCTGAATCTGGCTACTCTACATACCACATATAGGTGGACTCATACAATATTAATCTTTTTGTATTGGCCTCAGACTCAAAGTGACCCTCCTGCCTCAGCCTCCCATGTGTGTACTGGAATTACAGACTTGTGCCACCATGCCCAGCTAGAAGTTCCCTTTTAAAGCAGAATAATCTACAGTCTAGATAAGTCACATGTTTATCCATTTATCTGTCCATGGTCACACGAGTATACCAATATATCCTCAAGACTCTACATCAATTCTTTCAAGTATATACCCAGATGTGGACTGCTAAATCATGCGGAGATTCCATTTTGATTTCTTGAATTGAATGCTGTTATCCACAGCAGCTATGTAATGCTACAACCGGTGATGCACAAGGATCCTTTGTCCATATCTTCATCACCGCGAATCTCACACTTTCCTCTAATCGTTAGCTAGGTATTACAAACAGTTTTTTCCTGTACAGGAGATAGAATTGAGATAATTAAGGACCAGTGGGCTGGCACAGTGATGGCCCGGAAGCCTGGGGTGGCAAAATAAGACCGCGGGGGCAGCAACTCTTACCCTTTGTAGCATAGCGTGTTTCTCCAGACCCATCTTGAGAACGTGGTAAAACCACAAAAGCAGAAGGTTTGCACGGAATGAGCAACCTGAGGAAGCCATCTAACTTCATTTGCTCTTAGCTTAAAATCACTAATTTGGGAGGTCACATGGCAAGTCAGTAATTGAGTTTCCTACCAGCTTTGCTGCAGACAACACTGCGAGCATGTGGATTATGATGACAGTGTCCTGGGTTGCTTTCCAGGGACCGGAAGGCTGCTTCTGCTGAGACGCTGACCCTTCATTCAGGCCTGTAGATGTCCGATGGGTGAAGAATCTGAGGTGAATGGCTTCACATCTCTGCCTTTACACTGTGTGTGTCTCCTCTGCTGTTGTACCCTTTGAGTCAGATTCTTCCCACCTCTCTACATGGACGTGCTGATAATTTAAAAATGCTTTGTCTAACACTGTGATACAGAATGAGCTTGGCCTATTGCCCGTCAGAGCTGGAATGTGTTTCCTCCACTCAACTGTACTTTCTCAAGCAGTGCAAGCAGCAAAAATCCTTCAGCTTTACCATAAGTCAGGATGTTTCTGTAAAATGATTGTTGGTGTCCGAGTACCGTAGCAGTTCCTGAGCAAAGGCAAGCCTGGGAGGTTTGTGCAGGATAATGGCAGCAGACACACCAAAACTCAACATCTTCAGGGACAAGGTGAATGCGACACCACATAGTACAATTCCACAACAAGAAACAAAAATCTTTTGGAACTGTGCCCCTGGCCAATGGAAATAAATGCTTGTAATCCCAGAACTCTGTGAGGCTGAGGCAGGAGGATCACAAGTTCCAGCACAGGTTGGGAATTTTAGGAATAAGCTATGTTTTGTTTTGTTTTGTTTTGTTTTGTTTTGTCTTTTTTGGAGACAGGGTCTCGCTATGCAGTTCAGGCTGGCCCTGAGCTCACTTTGTATCCTAGGCTAGTCTCGAACTTGCAGTGATCCTCCTGCCTCAGCCTCCTAAGTGCTGGGATTATAGGCATGTGCCACCACATCTGGCATCAACAAACTATCTTAAAGGGGGAAAATTTTTATTTTTTAAAGGGCTGAGTATGTAGCTCAGTGGTAGAATGCTTGCCTGGCATGGTAGAGGTCCTGGGTTGGATTTCCTGGCTCCACAAATAAAAAAATAAATTAAAAACGATCCTTTGGAATGTAGCCCAACATTTCTTAAAAAGGACACAAGACCA